TGAATGCCTTGCAACCTTCCAAAACTTTGAACTATTGGATGCCTTTCACTTCAAATTTACTTAGGTATTTAGGTACCTCTCAAATACAATGGGTCTCTCAACCCTCTTAACTTAGTAATACAAATGAGAAAGTGTTTGGAAATAAATATATACTATCAAAGTATGGATATACAACTTGAAGCATTATGGGTATATGATTTTTTACAATATGAACTCAAATATGTTTGATCTTTGAAAAATATGAAAGAATATGCAAATGATAGTGTAAAATCTCTCAAATTATTGATCAATCAATTTTAGGTTTGTGGAGAATGTATATAAAATGATTTTACCCAAAACTAGTTGTTTATAGCCGTTGTAGTGCAGAGGGAATCGATTCCCTTACTGTGGGAATTGATTCCCAATCATGTTGAAGGTTGGAATTTCAACAACAATAATATTATTTCATAATTTGGACATAATTTGAGCTATTCTTATTGGATTGATGTGATTTTGGTCTCGTTGGAAAGATAAGAAAGAGATTTACAACTTCTCTAAAGAACACAAAATCAAAATCTATCATCTTGGATACGAAAAAATGTCTGGAATATAGAAACCAAATTATGTAGCAAATTTTAAGTTCAAATGTGTTCTATTTTGCTTCCAACAATTTCTTTTATAAAAAATCTTGATTTGATAAATATATTTTGAATTTATAAAATATATCAATGATTTTTTCCATGGGTTGTTCAAATTTCTTTCAAGATATAAAGGTTATGGATTATGCAATTTGAAAAATATATTTACTTTGATAAAAACTTTGAGCTCATAAAATGCAATCTACTGTATACCTTTACATATGAGTCTAAGTCCTAAAGATATATTTTAAATATGATTTTAGACTTAGCTTTATGTATTGTATCTTATATCTTCAATTGAGCTTAATGTTTTGACTTGTTGGATATGACAATACTTGACACTTTGATGGTTTTGATCATTTTTTACCATGATTGTGATATTGAACTTCTCTTTGATGTTGTCCATGGTTTGTTGTCTTTGATCTTGGTGTTGCTCTTCTAATTATTCCTCGTTTCTCTTGATCCAGTGACCTTGCTACTTTGATATGTCATTACTCTTATTGTGTGGTTACGTCATATATCTTCAATATTCATATATGGTTGATGCTTTTTGCTCTTAATCAATGCTCATCTCTTTTTGTTGTTGCCACTTTGTTATCATCAAAACATATCTTGTATCTACAATTACAAGTTGTTGCATGGTGCCATCTTTATGCCTGTATGTCATGAAAGTGAGCTCAGGGTTGGAGAAGTCACAAAAGGCCCTGAGTTTACTGAGATTGTATCTCACTCCATGTGGGGATTATTTTCCAGGTACACCTAGTAGCTAGGATGATGCTCTTGGCAAGAGGCCAAATTGTGGATATATGACATTAGATATTACATTTTGATTCATTTTGACATAGGAGCATGTTAGGACTCATTTTGATATGTTTTGTATATTGAGAGGAAGCATGATTTGATCATATATGCACTTATGTCATTTGGAGGGCCATGGTGCCATATTTTGTAACTGTAAACACAATGGAAGTTGAATATTTTGTTGATTATGTAGAAATGAATGGCTTGAAGTCAAAGACATTGTGAATGTTGATTTTGATTATGTAAAGTTGATAAATCTACGTTCAAATGATATGGCTATGTATTAGAGATCTTGATTAATGTTGGAAATTAATAATGAATGTTGAATTGGTTTATTAGGTGTTTGGATAATGAAAATATTCTCCCCCTGTCCTAGAGAGCGCGCTAAAACGACCCTGGCATACTAAAACGCGTTATGGGGTTCAGAAACAAAAATATCATATGTCGTTGAGCGCTAAAGTGCTATAATGCGTGTTAAATAACTAGAAAATGCAATTCTCATCTAGTGCACTAAAAATGAAGAAAATGGGTTCGACGAGCGCACTACCCAGAATCAGCATGCACATGCATTACAAAAATGGCCATGACTAGAGCTATAGAACTCCAAATTGAGCACGATTTGAACCTATGTGAAGCTAACACACAGGCCTACAACACTACAAAACATTAGAACCAATGAACATGTATATTAAACCTAGTTTAATTTTGAAATTGATGCTTTATTTATAGAAGTTCGGGTTGAACAACCAACTTACAAGTTGCATACCTCGGGCTATACTTAACCAAATGATTAATGTTATACCTTTTCGGAAAGTCCAAGATGTCTATGTAATATAGTAAAATATTATAGTTAATGGTGAAGTCATTTGATTTCCACAATGTTAACTAGTGGTAATAGTTCGATATCTTGTATAAATAAAGAGCTTATATTTTGATGGTAAATCAAATAAAGTCGGGTGGACTACATTGAATCATCAATTGAACCTAATAATACCTTTATAAGCAAAGAAAAATATTATTTATAACTTTAGCCCGAATAACTAATTATTAATCTAGTTGCCCTTAATGACATAATTGATGATGTTACCCTGGGTGCACACGGGTTGTTGCAGTTAAACTCGAATTCAACCCACTAAACCATAGGACTTCGGGAGTTAGACCTAAAAAAACTTATCTCCAAGTGTACTTTGAGGGTTAAAGCCTAACATAAAACTTTTAGGGCTATCTCACGAGCTTTAACCTATTTTGAATATTAGAAATGTTAAAATGGACCACCCATCGCACTAAGCTGTGACTAATGAATGTTAAGAAAAAAAAGCTCATAGGGTAAAAAAGCCTACAATAATATAAGTCTGTACGAGTAAAGAATTGTTTAGATTAAGTTTGATTTGCGGGCCATCAGAACTTATAATTTCAAAAAATTTAATTTCTCTTATTAGATTCAATGTACTCAAAATTATTTTAATAAATAAATATTTAATACATTTTGGAAAATATTCTATACAAAATAATTTTTTGTAATTAAATAATTTTTTGCACAAAATATATAAGTGAAATGTAAGAAAAGTTGTAATTATTTTTCCAATAATCATTCAGCACATAGTTCTATTTAATTTTTTTTTAAGTTTTTGCTTCTTATTTAATCGTGGAATAGTGATATATATTATTAGGGAAAAGTATGTATCATTTTAAAGGATGTAAAGTTGTGTCATTTTAAGAGAGAGAAAGAGATAGATAAGGAAAGAGAGAGAGAGTTGACAAAAAAATGAAGGTGTGAGTCCCACTTCTTTGTGAGAGTGGAAGAATATAAGTTATATCATTTAAAAGGATAAACACTTTTCCCATATTATTAAGTAGTATTTAGAGTGAAATTTTTTATTATTTAGTGAAATTTTCAGTATAGGTGAAAAATTTAATAATTTTATTTTTTAGTAAAGATTAATTTAACAAGACTACGTATAGCCCTTTCAACTTTTTTGTTATAAAAACGGTTATAAATTAATTTGAATTTTTTTTACTTTATAAATTCTGTCAAAAAAAATTATGACCATTGATATGTTATTGACTGAATGAGATTGATCACAACATGTTCATGTTTAAATTATATATTAGAGGGTATATTCCAATAGAATTTATTCCTGCGTACAATATTAATTATTTATTTTTAGGCAAATATATTTTTTAACATTTTAAACTGTTAGATTCAAATTTGGATTATTCAGATTTCAGACAATATAAATCCATATTTCAATACAAGTTTATTTATTTTATATTATTTAAATGTTGATATAAGAGTATTTTTAAGTATTGAATTTACGTATATTTTAATTTTATAATTAATTTTATTGCAACACTGTCAAATTAGAATTTCAATTAACCTTAACCATTTTTTTTCCTTTTAAGATTCTAATATAATAGTATTAAAAGTGAGTAGGTAGAGTATGCAAGGCATAATATCCCATCTCTTTTAAGTTTTAAGTAATACATGATTTACAAAGCAAAAATCTGCTCATTTCAATTTACAAAATGAAATATGTATGGGATTTAGGAAGAAAAAGGAGTTTTGAATTGAATATATGCTTTCTATAATATATTCACACATTGGTTACAATTTTTTTTATTATAATTGTTGGAATTTATATATATATATATAAATTGTATAGACAATCTATTGGTTATGAATAAGAAGTTTGGTAGTGAAAAAGTGTGCCTTTTCGTCGACAAACAATGTATCTTTTCATCCTAAAGGATGTGTTGTTTCATCCTAACGGACATGTTGTTTCATCCTTGAATGAGTGTCTTTTCGTGTTGAACGAATGTGTCTTTTCGTGTCGAACGAATGTGTCTTTTCGTGTCCAACGGATGTGTTGTTTCGTCGTCGAATAGGTGCCTTTTGGAACGTGACTTTACGTTGTCTATAAATAGACACTGACACCTTCAGAAAATGGATCCAATTTTTCCTGCACCGAAACTCTGCTGGAATTTTTCTCCTTCCGGTTTTTTGCATATTCCTGTTCATACTCCGGTGTGATTTCCCCTGGCATATTGTTGTGTTCGTTTGGGCTGTTGACTGGTAGTGCCGCCACTCTTCAGACGAAATCCGTTATATCCTGGGAGACAAGTGTCCATCAACCTTTGGCATCAGTGAGGGGGCAAATTGTCTTAAGGAGACACGTTCTGTGGGCTCGGATTTAATTCCTCTACTGCATACATTAATCTGTTCTGATTCTTTATACTGACTACAAGTAAGTCTGTTCTTATATTTTTTATAATTGCACAGTGATAATTCTGATCATCTACCTCATCTACCTTATACATGAGTTCAAATCTCTTAGTGATATAATATCACCCACTTTCTTCTATAACAATAATACTAAAATTTTTGTAAGAGATTAAACTTTTTTTATGATATAAAATTTAGTAAAAACTAACAATGATAAAAGTCAAATAAACAAAAGCATTTTTTATATTTTTTTTGGATTTGATAACTGGTGATGGGCTTAACCTATATAAAAAGGCTTATTCAGCTTGAATCCCAAACCCAAAGAAAGAGGCCTGGCCGGCGTGAACCGCATCCAACAAACATATGCATTTTTCTCTCTCCTCCCATATCCTCCTTCCTCATCTCAGCGGCGCCAAGTTACAGCACTCCCTCACATCTTACCCCTTTTTTATTTTTTATTTTTTTTTCTTTTATTTTTCTTTAAAATCCCCTTTTTTAATTTTTTTATAAAAAAAAGAAGAAGTAATTTTAAGGGGGGAACGATCTCTAAAATTGAAATCTAAATCTACAACAAACACAACACAAAATGGCATTTCACGTAGCTTGTCCAATTACATGGTAATGTTATGCTATCTATCTCTCTTCTCTTAAAGCTCTCTCTCTCTCTCTCTCTCCCTCTCTTTCTCTCTTTCTATTTCTCTCATTCTTGTTCGTTATTCTTTGCAATTACAGATACTATATATATAGATAGGTACATAGATTAATATCTCTTCTCACTCTCTTATTCTTTCGTTCTTTTTCGTTTTGGTATTTTCAGTCGCCGAATCTGTTTCTGCACTCTAGGGTTTCCTCGCGCTCTCAATCTACCTAACCCTACCAATGGCTTTCTCCATGACGTTGACGAGCTTCGCGATTTCCTCGCCGACACGCGCAGGGACGACACCACCGTCCAGGTCGCCGTTCCCAAGGTTGTGCCGCCGCCTCCTCCTCCGCCCGATGGTGTTCCCGTTGGCGGTGACGCTTTGGATGAGTCCGCATCTATGAAGGCAAAGCGCGTCGCACTCCAGCGGAAGGGCGCCGCCGCTATGATTGCTGCCGAGGAGTACGCTCGCCGGTTTGAGTCCGGTGATGTGGCGGTGAGGCTTGTTTTCTCCTCTTTTTTGATTTGAGTGTGTGGTGGAATCATTGAGCTGGTTGAGGATTCTGATTTGATTGACTTGTATTTGTGTGCCTAATTCGATGTTGTTTCATCTCATTTGTTGAGTTTAGTTGATTGCTGGAAGACTACTAAGTGATTGATACGGTAAAATTCTGCTGTTGAATGCATGGCTTGTAAGATGAGCTAGAGTCACTTTAGAGATTATTGTTAGTTTTGGCATATAAATGATATTGATCTTTTAATATTATTGCTACTATTATTATTTTATGTATGTGATGGTATATTGGATCTCGGAGTAATTTTATTTTTTGGTTTCTTTTTTTTTTTTAATTTCTTGAATTGTATTAATACCTGTGATTGGATAAACAGGATACATCAGGAAATCTTACTGGAGAAGAACAGGGTCAATCCAATGTTAAAGTCTTTTGTCGAATGTGCAATCGTGTTGAAAACGAAGGAAGTGAGAGAGCAAAAAAGATGCTATCATGCAAAAGTTGTGGTAAGAAATACCATAGGAACTGCTTGAGAAGTTGGGCTCAACATAGAGGTAAGAAGGTATATTTCCCCATATATGTTGATGTGGTATAAGTGCTATATTTTCTCATTTTATGGGTCTTTTTTTACAGATTTATTTCATTGGAGTTCGTGGACCTGTCGTGCTTGCCGAATTTGTGAGGTAATGAGCGATGTGTGATACTAATGAGCTTATACTTTTTTCATGTAGTGTTTGTTGAAGGCTCTCTTTTTAAATCCTCATGTGAAAATGGTTACTGACTTCAAAATTGATTATGCTCTCAATATAGCTCTTGTATTTAGCAAAAGTATCTTCATATTGCTCTTGCCAGAATGAAAACAGTGTTTTAACAATAGGGTGTTTCATGTTATTTGCTCGATTATGCGGTTTGTAAACCCTATGCTTCTGAAAAAGTTGTTTGACTTATGTCTTTTTATGGTATGAGATGGGAGTTAAGGTTTGCATGTTTAATGGAATGAAGTGGGACATTCGTTCTATTATACATAATGGGAAAGTCTCTAACCCCACCTCTCTCTTTCTCTGTAATTTTTTTTCTTCAGGAAAGTCATATTTTATAACGCTATATCATATACATTGGGATGTCTGACTTCATTCAGTTTGCTATGTTTATTTTTATCTGGACATTAAGTTGATTTTGCATTCTATAATTGAGCGATGTTATTCACAGCTTAGCCATGAACATAGTTATAACCTGCTTTCTGTGTGATCAGGTAACCAGTTGGCTTTAATGGCTTTTGGGGGATGGTTAGCCCCTTTTATTCCATACCCTCTAAGTTTCCTAAAGTCAGCTTATTTCCATGTGAAGTGTTTTATAGTTCTTCTCATGCTCTTCACCTTGAAGTTCTATGAACATTGACATAAGTCACTGGTTTACTGCCAAGTCACATTTTGGGTATCTATACTATATACAGTTTTTTGTGTGATAAGTTGAATGTCTTTGGCTGTTGGTAGAGAAGTTGCTAATGCCAACTAATGTTTATTAGAGTTCTTTTAGTCTTATGATTTATTTGCTTCGTCCAGGCTTGCAGAAGGACTGGTGATCCAAGTAAGTTCATGTTTTGCAAAAGATGCGATGGTGCTTACCATTGTTATTGTCTGCAACCTCCTCATAAGGTAGAGTCTTTATCACATACTGGTGAGCTTGATATTGATTTAATACATACTATTTCATTTATGATTTTGCATTATGCAGAACGTGAGTACTGGGCCCTATTTGTGCCCAAAACACACAAGGTGTCACAGTTGCGGATCCAATGTCCCGGGAAATGGACTAAGTGTGAGGTATGAATTCTGAGTGACTTAGCTTTTGCTTTCAAGGATTAATCCTTAACATAGCCTTTCTATTATGAATGTGTTGATGCCAGTAGGAATGTTGTAAAATGAAAGCTAAGTTTTATAGTTGAAGCCCATCTTTTTGGTAAAAACAAAGGTAAATTCTTTGTTGGATTCTCATTCAATTATTATCTTATGTTTATTTTAATTGTCGAGCCTTGGAGCAACGGTAAGGTTGCTCCTTGTAATAATGGATTTGAATTTGGGAAACAACTTCTTTGTCAGAATGCAAGGGTAAAATTGTGTATAATCGATCCTCCTACTTACCCTCGCAAGTCGAGGAGTCTCGTGCACTGGGGTTTATTTTAATTGTTAGCTTTATATTATAAAACGTTGCCATGAAGTAGTTTTTACTTTTTCTTAATTGCTCGTTGCTCAAAGAGTTTTGGAAATAGTAGAATATTTATGATTGCTGTTTTTCCAATTTGACAAGTAATGAGTAGTTCTTTTTCTTTTTAATTAATAACTTTTTAATACTCTATCTTCATCATCTTTGAAGCATCTAACTGAGTTTTCTTTTTAATTTCTGGCACCTTTAAATCAAATAGGCTACTTAAAGTAGTTTAAAGTTCTCTCTGTCTTTATTTTTTACATGGCACTGGCAGTTAATTCCTCCCCTGCTTTGCAGATTAAGCATATTTTAATTGAGGGGTGAACTTACCATTTTTTTAACAAAAATTTATAGGTGGTTTCTGGGATACACCTGCTGTGATGCTTGTGGAAGATTGTTTGTGAAAGGGAACTACTGTCCTGTTTGCTTGAAGGTGCCAGTCTTTTCTCTTGATCTCTTCCTAATCTTCTTTTAGCGTGTGGTTAGTAAAACACAACCATAGTATCGTTGGGGCATGTATCTAGAACAATCTTATAGGGAATTTCTTTGGCGTATTGTCAAATTTTCCAAGGAATCTACTTGTTTGAACCGTGAACCTAATTAAAGCATCTGAAACATGTGCATGTTTTGTTTTTTGAAATATTGTCTTGAAATGAATGTGGTACAGGTTTGTATAAGGTCCCATGTCCTTCCTGCTTGCTTCTCAAATGTTATGCTGCACTTATGCATAAAATAATATATTCAGTTTATTTCATTTTTGCTTCACTTTCGTATCTGTTCGTGTCCCCTGTATACTGGGCGTTGATACAAAAATAAGCAATGTGGGAGCAGAAAAGGGATTCTGAAAATTCACTGTATGTTTTTGGCTGCTTTTTTTAGGTTTACAGAGATTCAGAATCAACACCAATGGTTTGCTGTGATATTTGCCAGCGCTGGGTACACTGCCAGTGTGATAATATTAGGTTAGTTTATCTCTTGTATTCATGAAGATTGACTGCTCTCACTGTATCATATGGACTTCTTTCATTTGCAATCCCAGAATATATATACATATATATATATATATCATAGTAGTTAATTGCGCCGCAATAGCACCGCGAGCCGCGTCGTATGGGCGTTGCGGTGTCTCGCCGCAAGAAACCGCGCCGCGCCACACCGGAATGCAATAGCGGCCATATTGCTGTCATAAGGCAAAATGTCAATTTTGTTCTAAATTTAAATGTGTAACAGAAAAAATTTAAGGGTTTTTTAGTCTATCCGCATTTCTTTCTGTCACTTCTGCTACCTATGCCTTTAAAAAATGTTTCTTTTTGTCATTATTTCTGTCATATATCTATTCCGCTATTTCCGCAACCGCAACCCGCTATAACGCTATAGCGTTTTTCGGGGTTGGCCGCGACATGCCGCAATCCGCATTTGATAACTATGATATATATTGGGGAAAATCTGATTGTTGTTTTATTACGTTATAACCATTGGATTTTGGTGTTTGTTGCTTGGTCCTAATTATTTAATGTCTGATGGATTAGTCTTTGGATTTTAATCATGCATCTGTATATCTGGAATGGAAGGTATTGCCAATTTTACATGTTGCAGTATACAGTATACAAGTAACTTGAAATTTTCACTTCAATATAATAAATTTCACTCTTTTCTCCCTGTGAAGTACATGTAGATGTTCAGTGTTTGCAGATTATTTTCTTTGAATAAGTTTCTGTTTCGCTTTTTTATTGCTTTGAATGGTTGTGCTTGTCGGTTCCTGACCTAGTCTTTATAAATAACGAGACAGTCTTAATTTGGCTGTGAAGTTAGTGGACCTTTTTTGGTTTTTGCTTATTTTGGGAGAAATGTTTTGCAGTGAAGAAAAATATCTCCATTTTCAAGTGGACGGGAATCTGCAGTATAAATGTCCCACATGTCGTGGAGAATGTTATCAGGTATGCAGTATGCCTTTAATATGTAACTACTGTATGTCCTCCTTGGATAAAACTCTTTGAAATGAGTGATCTATATTTTATTCTCTGCACCCACCGTATATGTATCTGTATGCACCAGGTCAAGGGTCTTGAGGATGCTGTTCAAGAGCTTTGGAGGAGAAGGAATATTGCTGATAAAGATTTAATTGCCAGCTTGAGGGCTGCAGCTGGTTTGCCAACTCAAGAAGAAATATTTTCTATTTCACCATATTCAGATGATGAGGATAGTGGGCCTTTGAAATTAAAGAGTGAATCTGTGCGTTCTTTCAAGTTCTCTCTAAAGAATTTGTCCAATAACTCACCAAAGAAGATGAAAGATTATGGAAAGAAATCTTCAAGCAAAAAGACTGCTAAGAAAAAAGACTCTCCGTCATTTATGACTGGTAAAATTGTTGAACACCATAGTTTTGAAGGACAGAGTGATATTAAATCTTTACATAGCTTGGATGATGATAAGAATGATGATATACAATCCCAGAGAAATGAAGGTCCTGATGTTTATTCATCACCTGCTACTGGAAGCCTGAGTCAAACTGAAGTATCTTGCCCTGTTAATCAGCCAGGGATTTTGAAACATAAGTTTGTTGATGAGGTGATGGTCAGTGATGAAGAGAGGAAACCCAGAGTTGTTCGTATTAAAAGCAATAAGGCACATATTCTGGATAGTGAAGAAGAGAGTGCAAAACGTGGTGATAAGACTCAGAGTGTGAAAGGGAAGAAGTTGGTTATAAATTTGGGAGCACGGAAAATTAATGTGGCTAGTTCTCCGCGGTCTGACGCTTCAAGCTGCCAAAGAGATCAAGATCTGGTTACTGTTAATGGTATTCATCAAATGATTTTTTTTTTAATTTCTTTTGTTTCCCTTGTCACCTTCTATTAAGTTGAGAAACAGCAATTGTGGGATTTGATTATGTGAAAATGGGTTATGGCTAATTTCTACCATATATTAAGTTGAGAAACGGGGATTATGGGATTTGATTCTTGAAAGTGGGTTATGGCTGATTTCTCTGTTCATGTCTCTTTTTTCTCCTCATAAAATCAGTGACATGTTTTGTGCAGTTTTAGAAATTACATTTAATTAGCCTTTATAAATTACTAGTTTGCAACAGCAATTACAGTGATTGTATGATTTGTATCTGCTTCGTGCATGTTGTGTGTGTTCTTGAATGGTTTGATAGCTTTCTTTTGCTTCCTTTCTCTTTCTTTGGGTAACTTTTCCAGTTCAACTTTACTCTCAGGAAATGAGGATATAAGCCAATTGAGGAAGGGAGACAAGTTTGCATTAGATAGACCCGGTAGTACAGCTAGACATATTGAGAGTAAAGGTAGTTTTTTTTTTTTTTTAAATCCGTAACAAAGTTTGGCTATTGCTTTCCATTATACAAAGCATTAACATCTGAAGATATATCTAATGTCTATGAAAGTTGTCTCAGGAAAAAAATAACCTTGGTTCATGTGATTTTCAGCAAACAGAGTCGAGTCTGGCCAACCAAAACCTTTAAAGGTTTCGGGAAGAGAAGGAAATTTGATTAAGCTGGGAAAAGTTAAGCCAGATGTTTCTGAATTAAACTTGACCTCTGGTAAAGGCAACTTGTCTGATGGGCGTGAAGTTGTTCCTTTAGAGCAAACTCGTATCCTGCGGGGAAAACGTAGTACTGATGTAGTAATTGATCAAGTTGGAGTAGAGGCTACATCAAGAGGTGAAAGGACGTATTTGGGGAAGCAGTCAGAAGGCAGCTCTGATGCATATGATGAGACAGATGTCAATAATAATCAGACACCTTCACATTCTTTGCCAAAAGATTCTAAACCTTTACTGAGATTTAAATTCAAGAAACCTAGCATTGAAAGTCAAAATTCTCCTCTTCAAGAGGAGGAGAAGACCACAATCAAGGGCCAGAGGTCAAAAAGAAAGAGACCTTCACCTTTTAAGGAGAAAAAACCGTTTAATGAGTCTGAAGATGTAAGTCAATCACATCAAGACAGTGTAATGGATGAGATCATGGACGCAAACTGGATATTGATGAAATTGGGCAATGATGCAATTGGAAAGAGAGTTGAAGTTCATCAGACATCTGACAATTCTTGGTTGGTGCTTTCTATAGCTTTTTGTTAATTTTGTCAAAGCAATGGGAAAGACTAAATATTTAATGATGGCATAAAAGAGGGCATGATGCATTAGTCATTAATTTATTATTACATGAGCTTCTTCTATTAGTATTTCTTTCTCCCTTATTCCATTTTGAAAAAAATACGCTACTGGATGAGTGCATTTTATTTATGTATGGACTGTGGAAGTTTTTTCTTTAATTTATGTTGTTTATTAACTTATTTTAAATGATGAGAAATTTAAAAATAAATGAAATTATGAATGTATACAAATAATTTGCATCATTTGTTGCATTATAGTACGGATGAAAATGAACCATGCTTGTTCATAATTATTTGATCAGCACGTTTCTTTTGAATGAGGCTGTTTTGCAGCAAAATCATTCTAGACTTTGTAATGGATTACAGTTTATACCTTTTTACCTCTTCATTTTTGTCCAGGCACAAGGGAGTGGTTACTGACATAGTTGAAGGCACTTCGAAGTTAAATGTTACCTTAGATGATGGCAAGGTGAAGATCTTGGAACTCAGGAAGCAGGGGGTCCGTTTTGTTCCTCAAAAGCAGAAGAGGTCAAAGACATGAACTGAACTTATCCATCTTTGGTGATCATTTTATGTGGAGACTTTGTTCCTTGACTTTGAAAATTGTTTCATTTGAGGCCTCTACTTACTGAATTTACATTCCTAGCTGCTCATATTGCTGCTGATTTTTGGGTGAAGCATTCTCGATTGGAGCAATTCCAGTTTTCTTGAACGAATTAACCGCAGTACTTTTCTGGGCTGCAGGTTCTTGATCGCAAATTAGATTTTTCTTGTTTTTCTACATGTATCTGATTTCACAAAGTAGATTTCTACCTGTGATGTATAGGTCACCATTGCTGTAGAATAGGGAAGCAAGGGCGGAAGGTATTAGATGTATGATTGATGCTACTTGTAGTTTTGTGTATTGCAGGATTCATTAATTGAGAATATTATCTTGAAAGTTGAAATTTCTGTAATGTTGTCAAGGACATGGCAGTTGCACACCTTTGTACTTGCACCTACTAAACTTCCCTTCCAATACTTAACAAGGTATGAAAGAAAAAAAGAGAGAAAAAAAGAAAAAGGTGCTTGGGTAATTGGGTCCAAGGTGCCGGAAATAAGCACGGGCATCCATGAATTAATCGTTCATCAAGCAGATGAGTCTGCACCTTTACGATGGTCTTACTGCATTTTGCGAGCTCAGGGTATTGGTAGTGGTTCCTCATTTTCTTTTGAAGTGTTGAACCACCTCTTGGTTTTAAACATCGTCGGATTTATATAGAAGATAGATTTTTTTTTTCTCAGTATTAGAATTCAACACTTCTAATTAAGAGAACCCGATAAAGTTTTTTATTACTTGAATCAATATTCCTTGGTCGTGGGGTGGCTCTTTTGAATAAAAGATTATGAAATTAAAGAAGTTAAAAATATTTCAACGACAAATACTTTTAAATTGTATATAACTTTTGTCAAAATTTTGTTTCTCGTTTAAGAAATTGTTTAAAAATTATTGTAGAATGTAAAATAGTATGTTATTTTTCGAATATCGAGTGTGTTACGATCTGATAGATCAATATGTCCAATTAGAGATTGGTATGTTAATATAAGATTTATTTGCCCTCCCTCAGGTACCTATGGGGAAGGTACCCTAGAGATCAGCGAATCACTGTGCACAATAATATATACGACATAGTCAAGGCGTAGGGTGTATTAAATACATTATGCTAATCAAGACAAATCTTTGATTTGTCCACATATTAATCCCAAATCATTCAATTTAATCAGGTTTTAACCAAAGGCTGTATTAAATACGTTATTCCAATCAAGACAAATATTTGATTTGTCCAGAATTACTCCCAAAGCATTCAATTTAATCAGGTTTTAACCAAAGGCTGTATTAAATACATTATGCCAATCAAGACAAATCTTTGATTTGTCCACAGATTACTCTGCATTCAATTTAATCAGTTTTAATCAAAGGCTGTATTAAATATATTATGCCAATCGAGGCAAATCTTTGATCTATTTATGAGATATCGATATAAAATATTAAAAAGGTGAATCCTTTTATCATATATCGATATGAAATATTAAAAAAGTGGATCCTTTTTTCATGTAAATTTAGAATTTAATAGGAAGGAGACTTAGCTTTTGCTCTCTGCTTGATTTGCCCCTTTTCTTTTTAACCTCGATCTTGTCTGGATCTCAGCCACGATTGGGATTGCGCAGCGTTGGTCACGACCTTGATCTCGGCACGATCTTGTCTGGATCTCAGCCACGATTGCGATGACAGCGTTGGTCACGACCTTGATCTCGGTTTCATCATGCTCGTTGAGATTGACTTTCATATCTCAGATTACGAACTCTGGTCCGCCTTGAGCTGTTGATGAGCTTCATTTTTGTCTTTTGCTCCATCGTATTAGGATTTGGTTGGTCGGCGGCTTTTACGCCTTTACCACATTTGGGTGAGAATCGAAGTTTATCGTTCCCCACAGACAGCACCAATGTTACGATCTGATAGATCAATATGTCCAATCAGAGATTGGTATGTTAATATAAGATTTGTTTGCCCTCCCTCAGGTACCTATGGGGAAGGTACCCTAGAGATCAGCGAATCACCGTGCACAATAATATATACGACATAGTCAAGGCGTGGGGTGTGTGCACAGTGACAAGCTAAAAGAGAGGGTTTAGAGAGTGTGTACTGGTTTAACCCCTTATTTATATATAGGTTACCTGGCAGGAGTGGACTTTTGGGCTTCTCAGGAACATTGAGGGTCCAATTGTTGATCCATTGCTGCCGTAGTAGGATTAACATAATTAAGGAATGTTTCCTTAATTCCCTCTTAGCTGTTAGCCCTATTTGGACCTTCTAGAATGTAGGCCTTTGTCAGGTCCATAACAGAGTGTTTCGAGAATATATATATATATATATATATATATATTATATATATATATTTATTAAGAGTTTTCTTTGCTTTAGTACGTGAATTTTATAAATATCAGTATCACCAAAAATAACTTGGCTCTCGTCGTCAAAATTATTAACCATAAAAGACGATATAATTGATTATTTTATACATGCTAATTGTGAACATTTAATTCTGTCTTAGTTTTTTTTTTCTTTTAAGTGAAAAAATAAGTATAAAAAATTTGAGTAAAGACCTTTTTTATCTCTAACAAAAAATACGGTCTAAATTAGTCAATTAGTCCCTAACAAATTCAAGTGGATCCATTTTAGTCCTTTTGAAGGACTAATGTGGTCTTTTTTGAATTTGTGAGAGACTACGATTTCAACTAAATAGATCCACTTTGAATTTGTTAGGGACTAACTGACTAATTTATTTTTGTAAGGGATTAAAGTGAGAATCGTGTTTTTTATTAGGGACTAAAAATGGTATTTACTCAAAAAAAATTTAAAAGAAGAAAAAAATTAAAGAAAGGTATAGACTTGATCTGTTGTTATACTTCTAAGTTCTACCTTTACTACATAGTATTACAAGAAGAAAGAAAAAAATAAATAAAAGAAATGTGTACACTCATCTAATTATATTTACTTCATCTCCTTTTTTATTTTTAATGTTACATAAGTATTGGAATGTTAGAAAATGTCAGAGTATCGAAAACTGTCGAACACTGCACTTCAGAAATTTTGAAGTGTCTGTACTAGGTAGCTTGTTACCCAATTTTTTTTTTGAATGTATCTAAAAAAATAAATAAATAAATTATTTTAAAAGTTGCATAGCATAAAAGCATCGGCAAAATTGGCATGTCACATCTGGCTACCCTGTCTTCCTAAAAACACATGCTTATACATTAAATATATTTGCACAGTAGAAAGTGTGTGTACTCTCTGTGTGTGTGTGCGTGAGAGAGAGAGAGAGAGAGAGAGAGAGAGAGAGAGATTAGCAGAGAGAAGCCATGAATGCACCTGATCGTTACGAACGTTTCGTCGTCCCTGAAGGCACCAAGAAGTATCCTTTTCATTTCTTCTATTATTTTCTTCTTTCCTTCCTTCCTTCATCACTTTCATATTTTTTTAATATTATAATTTTATTTTAATTTTAATTTCGTGAAAGGGTCTCTTATGAGAGGGACACCAAGATCATCAATGCTGCTTCTTTCACCGTCGAGAGAGAGGACCACACCATAGGCAACATCCTTCGCATGTAGCCACTCACTTGATTTTACATCCATAAACCCTAATTTCTTTTTTCTTTTTATATTAAATTTTGATTTTGGTGGTGTTCAGGCAACTTCACAGAGACCCTAACGTGTTTTTCGCTGGATACAAGCTTCCTCACCCTCTTCAGTACAAAATTATTGTCAGGGTTAGCATCTTTCCCTCCTAATTATCCTTTCTTTTTAATTAATTTGGGATAAGTGTATTGCTTTTATTTTTATAAAATATGAAATTAGGTTGACATGAATTTTACTTCCAGTCACAGGATATAGTTAGGGATAAAGAATAAGAAGACACAAATCATAGTAGTTAATTGCGCTGCAATAGTGCTGCGAGCCGCGCCGTATGGGCGTTGCGGTGCCTCACCGCAAGAAACCGCTCTGCGCCGCATCGAAACGCAACATCAGCCATTGCGATGCAAATCGCGGCCATATTGCTTTCATAAGGCAAAATGTCAATTTTGTCCTAAATTTAAATGTGTAACAGAAATTTTTTAAGGGTTTTTTTGTCTATCTGCATTTCTCTCTATCACTTCTGCTATCTCTGCCTTTAAAAAATATTTTTTTTTGTCATTATTTCTGACATATATATATTTCGCTATTTCCGCAACCGCAACCCGCTATAACGATATAGCGTTTTTTGGGTTTTTTGGGGTTGGCCGAGACATGCCGCACTCCGCATTTGATAACTTTGACACAAATTACCCTACTTTTATTTGGAAACCAGGATTTGGTTCAACTCAGTTGTTTCCGGATTACATAGACAGCTTAATAAACTGAATTGGAGTTGGTTTAAGCCCATTTGGATATTGCCTAAATCTGGGTCCTTTTTAATGTTGTCAATGTCATATATAAAAATATTGACTTCACACTTTCATACATGTGCATTCTGTGGTATTTTTCTCTGTATATCGATTAAGAGTTCTGTTTTGTTGTTATTTTTGCAGATACACACCACTAGTCAGTCTTCGCCAATGCAGGCATATAATCAGTCTATTAATGATCTGGACAGAGAACTTGATCATTTGAAGAATGCCTTCGAGGTATAGTGTGTCTAAATTCTATGACATCATTGATACTTGTTTACTCTCCTATCTTAGGAATTCTTTTAGATATTAAATACAGTAAATCAGCCATTAGTAACAGGCTATGCTTAATTCACAGACCCCATTTCAATATCTTTACTTCCCTATCCTAGAAAGTAGTTGCAGATTTCTGAAATTAGACTATATCATTTGACCCTTTGGTGTTTTAATGCTTAGCTGTACCCATGAAGAAATAGGAGATTGACTGAGGTTCATCATTGTAACTCATGTATGTATTAGAAGCTTGCTTTGTCTTTTGATGTTTCCTTCCCTTCTATGGCACTCTGATAGAACTGGATCAGAGATGAAGCAAAATAACTACTAAGAACAGAGTATTTTGGCCCAGAAGGAACACCTTATGGATTTTCTGTATATTGATAAGCTGAAATTACAAGCAATAGTAATGAAAATAACAAAGACACCAGCTACTACAATGGAGGTTTTCCTATCAGCTATGAAGACAGAAAATGGAAAGAAAGAAAGATACAATTCAACACATTAGAGAGGTGTTGATTCTCTCCCAATCTGGTTTCCCAGCCCAAGTGCCAAATCCCCATCTATTTCCATGCTTCTGCTCATGCCACTCTACACCTTTTATTCCCTCTAACAGCCATGCCACCTCAGCACTGCCCTCCTTCTTTTCTCTAACAAACTCATTCTTCTAGAATATTCTGACTAACAGACTTGTCATGCTCCCATAATTCCCTACTACCCAACTTACATATACCTACAAATACTTACATAACTATATTCCTATCACACTCTCAGTATTTTTGGTAAGGCATTTAGAAAAATGTATATATCCAAATAAGGACAACTTCTATATGGGCACTTGGGAGTTGGCTTTTCCTTCTAAAAGAGATTTTGCCTAATTCAGTAATGCTACCTCTTGAATATTAAATAATTACTGATGATTCTCTGGGTTTTATATAGTTCTTTTGAAACATACATACTATTTAATGGTGTCTTGGTGGCTTTTACGGGGTGAAATACTCGCTCCTTCAAGTGGTAGACATCATTATATCATTCCAGAATGTGTAGAAACTAGAAAATTGGAAAGAATTTTCTGGAACCCATTTACTTCTTAAAGATGATTGTGGTAATAGTATATGCTACATATGTGCTGGGAAGAGATAATTCCATTATGAATTCTAATAAGTATTCTTATTTGCTTTTTTCTGAGAGTGCCATTAGTAACATATTCAAAATTTTAATTGCAGGCAGAGATGTTGAAGTTTTCAAGGGACTATTGATTTACAGTCAAGATGGAAGTTGTGTGGGTTAGAAGCCTTAGCAGATACTGAGATAGCAAGTGGCTCCTGCTAAATGGAATTTAAATAGAATTTTTTTAGTGTTTTATTTAAATGGTTAAAGATGGTTTGTGTTGAACTAAGGAATTTTTGCAGTTGTGAACAATTTCATAGGTAACAAAAATGCATTAACCGGAGGATTTGCACTATATCAAGCTAATTAATTATTTTGGCAACCACTAGTAAATTCCTGTCACGTGGATCTTATATATCATGGATTTCATGTAGAATTATTTATTTACTATAGGAGGGCAATGCCCAAAACCAAAACACAAAGACTAAACCAAACAATGTCTGGGAAGGCCTATGAGGTCATCCGAGAACAAATGATTTATCTCGGGTGGGATTTGGTCATAGATATGCAATTCTGCGCCTTTTGTTGAGGGCATTGTTGGCAGGGGTTTTACTTTTTGTAGTTTATTATATTAAGTTAAAATTTTCTTTTAGAAAATATAAGCATTTAGTTGTTTTTAGTATTATTCCAATAATCAACCTTTGAAGTGTACGGAGACATGTGATTATGGGGCTAATCTGATGATTTAATTTTTCCTTTTTGCTTCTCTACTGAAATTTGTGGAAGCTATTTTTTTCAAACCCATTAAGGATGAAGTGTACCAATGCACTTATGGCATGCCTTTGGAGACATTATCGCTGAATGCACTCTATTTATTGTAACGTTCTGGTAAAACCTCTTATCAAATTTTACATTTTATCTTTACAATGTGCAATTTTCTGTCCTTGCTACAATTAGCATCTACCTCTAGGTCTAGGCTACCTATGCATCTACAGCTACATAATAGAGAAGTCATCATCAAGGCCATCTAATTCTCCTCTAAGTTTGTGTTGTTGGATTATCAATACAGAGACTGTCATTGAGAAGTCTGATCCTGAAAGAACATCACCTATTGGTCCAAGTTCTGGGCAATGCTGCCAGTCATTCATCCCCTTTGTTAATATAGAGTTCACTCCACCTTCTCTTCCTACAATGACCAGTGAGTATTGCCCTTCAAATGATCTGAGAGTGGAGAAGGTCTCAGCTGCATTTGCAAGATGTTTCTCAGTATAGGAAATACGACCTCCAACTATATGCTTTTCATAGAACTGTGCAAAGTATTCATCATCCATCCCCATCTCCTCCTCTTGCTCTGGAAGGCTAACCCTGTAAGCTGCTAATTTTGATGATTCTGCACTCGTATCTACCAGGAATCTTATTACTGTGAGTTTTACTCCTGGATGCCCTGCTACACGACCTGCATAAGCAAGTGCTTCTCTATCATCTTTTCCACCTATGAATATCACTGCCACATTCACTGATGCCTGTGACTTTGATATCTTTGCAATGGATCCAAATCCTCTGTTCACTAGAATCCCCACGGAACAAGGAGCACTCCTCAATACCTGTTTCAACAAAATATCTATTATTGGAGAAGGCACATCATGGTTGAGCTATTAAACACTATTTTGGATAATAGATCATAGGTTCAAGTTGTATTATTTTTTTACCTTTCGGTTCACATATCTGAACCCTTGATTGCCACTATCCAATTTTCCATCCTGACGCTGGTTCATGTGGAATGGTAGTATGATGAGGGTAATCATCAAGTCCTCTGCTAAAACACTGATATCCTGTGCCATGTTATTGATTGTGGACACTGCCAATGTTCTTTTCAGAGTAATACCATCACCATCTTCATCTACATAGGCTTGAAACGAGCTGGTTATTTGGTCTCTCATCTCCATCACTTCCTGGTCTTTCACAATTGTTGTATGTACTTCTTCACCCTTCTCTACTGAGGCTGCTAATTGATCAGTTAGTTCAATCATTTCTGCAACATATACTAGAATGCCAGGGTCTGCTGTCCCTCTTGAGATCTCCATGAAGTTGATGGAAGCAGGAACATTCTCAGGTCCATGAACGCACAGGAGTACCCTTAGCTCACTTAATGGGTCAAGCAATTGCAGGGCCATGCGATGAGTAGGTACCCTCTTCCTGGCACGTTTGATGATATGTGCCACAACTATGGGGGCAGGCATCAGTGAGATAAATACTGTAATTACCATACCAATGCTGGTGGAAATACTGCTGATGCCACAACCCATCTGGTAATAGAAGGACAAGCTATGAGATTGATTTAATGTTAAACACGATTTCAGTTATTTTTGTCACAATTCTGAAAAAAGTGTAGCTATTACCCAGTTATCTCTTTCTGCTGCATGTATCTTTAGTTTTAACAATTGTAAGTGAGTCTATAAACTCTTCCTAACCTCTCAAGATCATATATTTCTGTGGTAATACCATTTATGGAGAAATAGATTCAAAGAAAATACCTAACTTATGCCTTTTGTCTGCATAATGTTCTTATATCCTTGATTTTCAAATGGCATAAGATTTCCGGATGTACAGCTAGCAAGATTCAAATGTCTTTCAAATGCATAATATTTCTAATGAAGTGGAAGAACCATGCCTTTATCTGGGTTACTAGCATGCTGCTATGTCAATTCACACATAAAATAGAAACTTTTGACACTCAACATAAATGCTGGCAGTTGACATCACTTGGAGACATCATAAAAGTTATCATGCTAGAAATTTGAACTGACACATGAAGGAAAGGGCCAGGCAACTATCTCAAATAGTGAAGAAATACTTGCCACTTTGATAGCCAAGTACATATGAAAATGGCCCTTGATGGTGAGCAGCAATCCAATTGCAACTGAATCAGGCCAGTGAAAGCCAAGCATTGCCCCAGAAATAACTGTTCCGGCAACTTTACCTATTATAAGTACAAACATGGATAGTAATAATCTTAACCATGTTACTAGCTGTCCAAACTCGAACTTCCTGAAATCAGATGCGCACCCCACCCACAAGAAAAAGATGGGAAAGAAGATAATGTTCAGCATATAGTTGATTTTGCTAATAACCCATTTGGAAACTCTGCCCTCCCGGGGAAAACAAACCCCTGTCATAAAAGCACTTAGAATTGGACTATAATTGTATAGAGTTGAGGAGGCACAAATCATGATCATGAAGGCTATTGACAGTACCAGGTGTGAACCTTTCATGGGTTTCCCTTCAGGGTTTTCATTGTTGACCCAGTTCATAAAAATTGGTGAAACCATGGCTGTGAACAATGTCTGTCCAAGAACTGCACACCCCATTGCAATGGCCGTATCAACACGATGCTTTTCTTCAGGATCAGTGCAAAATGTATCCAATGGCATAAAAATGTAGCCAAGTGAAAGAAGTAAAGAGCACATGCAATCTGAGTGCATCCCTGCTGCTATGACAAGCTTCCCAATATCAGACTTTCCTATTTTGAGTTGAGTTATTAGACGGGTCAGAACTGGGGATGCTGTGCTAGAAAGGAGAATACAATAGCAAAAGGTGAATTTTAGTCCATGGTTGCTTCCAAAGTAATGTAGAATTGGTATTAAGGAAAGTGCTAGAATGAACGTTGATATTATTCCTGCATAAGCAACTTTAACATCCCTAGTTGGTCGTTTGAAGAGTACATAAGGATCCATTTCTATTCCCAAAGTAAACATGTAACACATCATACCAAAATCAATGATGATTTCGAAGTTACGATTGAATTCCCCATATAGCCTACGTAAAAAAGGTACATTGCCCATAATTAGTCCTACCTGCATAAACATGAACAACAATAAGCATCCATCAGAAACTTTATTATTTATTTTTTCAGTTTTCTTATTCATTATATGAGAGGGAGATACTTACAATTAAATCAGAAGTAATGCGAGGTTGTTTATAAGGCTTTAATATAAAATGTAAAATATTGCACATGATCACCATCGCCATAAACATAGCGAAATTTCTCCCTACTTGAAACATGAGGTTGGCTAGCCTCAGTGAACATTGGGTTATCGCCATTGACACACAAAAAATCAACTTGAGGTTTGATTACGTAGTATATATTTTTTTTTGTTTGTGTGTAATGTATCTTGCTTTTTCTTTTTTCTTTTTTCTCTAGCATAAGCATACCCTCGTATATTTCTTCTTTACAGTTTCATCAACAAGTGCACAAATTTTTCCTTCCCATTTTTTGTTTTGCTGATGATCAATGTTCGGCCAAAGGTTTTTTCGAGAAGTGAATGGTCCTTATTAATAGCTTACTTTAAGGAGAGAATAGAGGAACACTCTCATGTGCATGACACATAATTGGTGATATTTTAGGAGACTCAGGACATTATGCTAAATGGTCTAAAAAGAGAAAAACACGCAAGTCAATGGATTGCAAAACTGGCATAGCAATTGAAATTCAAAATAACTTAGCAAAATAAGCAACTACCATCACATTTATTATTAATTTGAAGTAATAACAGAATAGAATGAGAAAAAAAAGGTAATAACAGAAGAATGCCACGGTGCCCCATCTTTTTTTCTTTTTCTTTTTCTATTAGAGTTTAAAAATATACACCCTTTATATTTTGGAGTGTATGATTTGATACATTTCTTTGTTATTTAGCACATTTCATCACCAAAACCGTGTAATTTTTTCATTTTTCATCAAATTTATGTCACTTTTAGGGGTGCATACAATGTATTATAAAATTCACCAAATAAATAGATGCAAGACAGATTTTATATTACAAAGAAAGCTAATGCAATAATTGCACGGAAAAAGGTGTTCCAATTTTAATATTCTTTTTTAATAATAATTATTATTAGGTACTCTTGCAACATGTAATATCCCGAGCGCTGACGAGGGCGGGGAGTGATCGTCGGTGCAAAGAGGCACAGACAATGAGCGGCTCCTGACAAGCTTCCAGCGGGGGGTTACATGCATGAATGAATCGAATCGACACCCGAAAGAGAGGGATTCCAAAGATTGTGCAGGTATAAGACTGCACAGTTTGTGATAGCTTATAAGAATTAATTGGTACTACCTATACTAACAAGATGCATCTACTTTTCGGTAGCCCAGAACGGAAGAACTTCACAGTTGAGCGTGCTTGACTTGGAGCAATTCTGGGATGAGTGACCTCCTGAGAAGTTTTCCCCAGAAGTGTGCGAGTGAGAAAAAAGCACACTGAAAAGTCTCGTGTTAGTATGTGGAGATAGTCATTGATTCTTGAAGCGGCCGGACGTTACACAACAACAAAGATCAATGTTTTAGATGAATTTTTCCCGAAGTGTTAACTAAGGTTTCTGATTGCATTTTTTTTGTTTGTGTCCCCAGATAAAAAATAAATAAATTGATTGAGTCTTTGTTGCACTTTGTGAAGATTTTTTTAAAAAAAAAACTTGATAACTCATATTGGGTATTCAGATCTTAAAAAAAATAAAATAAAAACATAGGTATCAATTGCGGTTGTTGAAGGTTATATATTGGCCTTGATGTTCTTTTTGTTAATTAAAAGTTGTTTAGAAGTTAATTGACTTAATTCTATGGTTTATCAACTTATGTCACTTTCTTGATATCAACGCATTTTCTTTCTCTTCTTTTAAGCTTAACTATGACCAATGGTGGGTGAGACAAGGAGAGTGGGTGACTTGAGCTACATATAAATCAGTAAACAGTTCCTATTTCCAAATTTTCTTCTTATTGTGTGATAATGTTACATCTAAAACTTTAACTGTACTACTAAAATATCATGTCCCTCAATTCAGAATATATTCATGACTTCTCTAATAGATACCATTTTTTTTTCGAAACCCTAATGAATTCAACTAATTTAGTTTCATGTTTGAATTTCTTCATTCTCTTTCGAAGTTACGACTCTTAGAAACTAAATTCATTATTTTTGAACAGATCAAATCCTGAGTTCTAGTTGGATCGTGACTAGACCAATAATTTTTATTTATATATATATATATATATATTTACAAACTACATTATGTTCTCTCAGAAGAACACTAGGTTATGTTCTTCCGGGAGTACATAGTGTAATTTGTAAAAATTTATAAAACAAGTTTGTAAACGGATCCTTCTTCTGTATATATATAGGGGTAGGATATTGTAAAAACCAAGTTAGGTTATTACCAATGTTACTACCAATAATTTCACCGTTAGATTGATTTTTTGATCCGACAATCCTGATTTAATCGTTATATACCCTCTCTCTCTTCCCTTCTCTCTCTCTGACTATACAATCTGCTGTCGCCACCGCCACTCATCACAGACGCAGCTTCCCCTCTCAATATTTAAATTATGCTGATTTTTTGTTTATCCTCTTCCAGAAAACAAAGTTGAAATTTTGATGTGTGAGATTTTTCTTATTTGTCGTTTGGTTACAAGCAGAGGTAATTACTATATATATATATATCATTCTTGTTACGTGAGTCAAGCACCATCCAAGAGATAACGGAGTGAAAACCGAATGAGGAATAGTAGGATTCCTAAAAATGCATTTACATGAAATTGTTTAATTGTTTGACCAGCTTAGATGTTATGTATTTGATTTATTTATATTTCAACAAATATCCGATTACTGAGGGATTTTTGGTATAATTTATTTTACATTTTTTTTTTGGTAAACTATTTTACAATTAAAAAAGGACTACAATAATGATCCAAAATAAAAGCGAAATCAAAAATAAAAAGAAATAATAATAGGAAGAAATAGTGACGGTAATCACAGTACAAGAGACTAAAGATATGTTCTCATAAATAACAATATTCAAACCGGATTAAACTTACATAAATATCAATGAGAGAATATTCTAACTTATTAAGAGTAATTGTGCTCCATTAAATTCATATTTGCAATTTTTTTTTGTTAAATATTTACCACGAGGTTTATTAACTAATTTTTGACAAAATATAATCCGTTTACTATTTACTTTAATGCGAATTTATCACAATAATCAAATAAGAATCTTAATTTGAAAACTTATCGCTTCAATTTCACGGTAATAACTAATAAAATATGCCAATTTTAATAGAAAAATATATTTTATAACTTTCATCAATTGAAAACACATTATAATAAGTCATTTTAACTGAACCGGTTTATAACATGCATGGAATTACGTGTTTGTATATTTAAAACAGTCCAGGAACCTTTTACATAAATTTAAGAATTGTTAATGATAATAATTATTTTAAGACGAGAGTGATGGTGAAGAGCATTATCTCATCTAAATTAAAATAAAAATAAAAATTGAGGTTGAATTTAGAATAGGAAAGAGGTATTAGATGGCATAGAAACCCGGTTGCCCAAAGTACAAAGTTAAAGGGAGCTAAGTGGCTCAGCGACTTAAGAGAGGCTTACGATTTGGCTTATATTAAATCAAGTTCGATTTATTACATATAATATTGGGTCTACATGTCAATATATATCATATTATTTATTTTAAATAAATAAATAAATTATTATTTTAAAGGGAATGATTTGTTTATAATTTTTTTTATAATTTTTTGCAAATTACACTATGTACTCTCGAGAGAACATAATGTAACCTAGTGTTCTCCCGGGAGAACATAGTGTAGTTTGTAAGAGTATGTAAACAAAAAATTTACAAATATAACCTTTCCCTTATTTTAATAATAATATTATTAATTTTTTTTAATTATTGAATGTGTAATCGATTTAAATAGGCTAAGAGTGTGCATCACAACTTTTCCAGAATAAGTTTTTTTTTTCAACTTTTGTTCCCAGAACAGAAATGGATAGAAACAGTATTTGACAAAATCGATTTATTTTTTTGATCTCGAGAATGAACCGGTTCAATTTATGTGCTGAGGAATAGAAAAAAGATTTATTTTTTTTCGCTTTTTTGTTCCCGGACAGAAAATGAAAAACATTTGTCTCTCTCAATCACTCTTCACCACCACCACCACCACCATCCCGGCACGACCACCGCCACCACAACGCCACCTCCACCATCGTAGCAGTCGTCGTCGCACTACCACCGCCATCATCACCACCACCTCCACGCCACAACCATCATCACTACCACCACCACCACCATTGCTGCAGTGACTACCGTCACCACCACCATTGCTGCAGTGACTACCGTCACCACCACCACCACCACAAGTCCACAACCATTACCATTATCATCGCGACCACGACTACCACCGTCGCCACCATCATCGCCACTATTACCACCACCATCGTCACAACCACTATCGTCACCACCACCCCGCCAATGCCACCCCCCACCACTACTACCACCATCGCAGCCACCGTCACCATTACCATAACCGTTGCCGTCGCCGCCGCCACCATGCTGCCACCACCACTAGGAGTGTTCGCGGTCTAGATTGGACCGATTTTGAAAGCAAAAATCACCTGATTCAATTCCTTCGGTTTGATCATGTAATCATTCATTCAGTTTGGATTTTTTTTCAAATCCGATCCGATCCAGTTTTATTAGGTTTAGATTGGACCAGCTTTCAGTTTTTTGAAAGGGATAGATTATATTTACAAAATTTTATAAATTACACTATATACTCCTGGGAGTACATTCCTAACCGAGTCTACTCTCGGGAGTACATAGTAAAGTTTATAAGAGTTTGTAAATATAACTCTTTCTTTTTTGAAAAGCCTAAAATTTGTATGATGATTATTGTGCAAATAACATATCTTTTGTATGTATCATCTTTGTAAATTTTGTATAATGATTACTGTGCAATCTAGAAGTATCCATAAATGATAATTTTTACTATAGTACAACAAAAAGTTGAAACTTGATAAATTCGGTTTCAAGTATCTATTACCTGTTGGATAAGAAGGAAAATTAGACAATAACAAAGTAAGGAAAATTCATCTCAATTACTAATAGATAAAGATCTTAAAATAGTTTTTTATTTCAAGTTTTGGCACATAAATTTTATAGTAGTATTACATTCACGTGAAAATTATAAAACTAAATAAAAATAAATCCTTAACTCAATTCACATGCTATATTTATGTAACAAAAAATTCATACTTTTGTAGTATCCTATCCAAAGGTTGAAATCACAATGACGGTAGTAACAAAAACTTGCTAGAATGTGCCAATAAATTTTCTTGGGTTTAGCTGATGGGTTAATGTGTCTTAGGTTTAAAATTTTTGGGACTATGATTAAGGAATAAGCTCAAGTAGGTAGAGGGGAATAATATATTAGATCGGTTTGGATTGGATCGATTTTCAACAACCAAACTAAAAATCGATCAAATCCAATTAAAATGTATGGTTATTTTTCGGTTATCGATTTTTCAATTCGGTCATTGCGATTTGAATCGGTTTGGATCGGTTGATGAACACTTCTAACCACCACAACCACATCATATGAAAAGGAAAGTGATGATCCAAAATTTTTTTATGCTTAATAGCAATGATTTTTAATTCTATTATTTGTTGCGTTATCAAACACAATTCTTATTCTCGGAATAAAAATAGAACTTATTATCAAACACATTTTTTTTTACCCTAAGAAATTGTTCCAAGACTCAGAAATAGAAAAGAATTTTTCTTCTCAGAAATAGTATTGAAAAACATAATGATTGTCATGCACATCCTAATAAGCCAAGTAGTTTGGACTTATAATTGAAGTTTATAGAAAGATAATAGATCACATTACGTCTAAAGTATTGTATATGGTGTTAATCCAACTTAGCCTATTTAATAACTTATAATTGAAGTTTATAGAAAGATAATCGATCACGTTAAGTCTAAAGTATTGTATATAGTGTTAATCCAACTTAGCCTATTTAATATTCACACGGAGAGAGAGAGAGAAGAAAAAAGAAAAAGAAAAAAAGAGAGAGTTGATGATGGTAACAGTGTGACCTGTCTGTGAACAAAGAAGGAGCTGTCGCAATAAAAAGGAGAAGACTATAAATACAAAACAAATGTTGAAAAGAGAGACAGAGACAGAGACAGAAACATAAACATAAACATAAACAGGGGACTCGGAGACAACAAAAACAATAGCCTTTCATTCACCGCTCCGAATTCCGCTGTTCAAGGAATACCAATTTCTCTCTCTCTCTCTCTCTCTCTCTCTCTCTCTCTTCCAATCTCCGATCAATCCCTTTGCAATTCCATTGTCATTGAATGCAAACATCGAACTCTTCTTCTGTCGAATTTGAATATATAAAAAATTTGAAAATAAAAGAGGAAAATGAGCGTGATATCTCGGAATATATGGCCAGTTTGCGGAAGCTTGTGCTGCTTTTGCCCTGCGTTACGAGAGAGATCAAGACATCCCATTAAGCGTTACAAGCAGTTGCTTGCTGATATTTTTCCTCGTACACCGGTTTGTTGCTTCCATTTTTATTTATTTGTAATTGTAATGAGAGAAGAGAGAGAGAGAGAGAGAGAGAGAGAGAGAGAAGATAATCATTAATCATGTTTTTTTTTTCTATGTTGTTGTTGTTGTTGTTATTGTAGGAAGAGGAACCTAATGATCGTAAGATCAGCAAGTTATGCGAGTATGCAGCAAAAAATCCTCTCCGCGTTCCTAAGGTATATATATATATATATCATATCATATCATATCAAATAATGTGATGCAATGCAATGCAACTTTTATTCATTTATGCTCAAATGGTTCTTTTATTTTGGATTGTATCTGATCTTCTTATCAATATTGATAAAATTATTACTGTATTTTCTTCGTTTGTTTCAGATAACAAGCTATCTTGAGCAAAGGTGTTATAGAGAGTTGAGAAGTGAGAACTACCAATCTGTTAAAGTTGTCATTTGCATTTACAGGAAGTTGTTGATTTCTTGTAAGGACCAAATGTAAGTTCTTTCTCCTCATATAGAATTCACCCTTTTTTTTTTTCTCCCTTTTTGAAATAATTAAGATATTCCAGACAAACAAGTAGGGTTTCGAGTTTCTCATGACATAAACTTTGATGGTCAGCATCAGTATGTTTTATCACTGTAAGTAAACTAGTTAGAAGGCCTTCAAATTTAAGCAAGTAATAACCTACAAGAGGTGATGTTCTTTACACTTACATATCATATATCATAACCAAAAAATTTACAAAGAAATTTTGGTTTGGTAGTCACCATATTATGAAAATGGGGAAATATATTTTTCAAGAAATGTAAGAGTTTTGTTTTGGAGGCTCAAGTCTCCTTGAATTTACATCCATTTAAGAAAATAGCCCCCTTCTTCCCTGACCCTAGTGGGATACCGGTGTCTAACCCCACTTAAACTTTTTTGTATTAAAAAAAAGAAAAAAAGAAAAAAAAGAAAATAGCCCCCCTACGGAAACAAACGTTTCACATGCATAAAAACGTTTATATGTGTGATTTACGAGAACACTATTATGACAGGCCTTTGTTTGCAAGTAGCTTGCTTAGCATCATACAAATTCTTCTTGATCAAACCCGGCATGACGAAGTGCAGATTTTAGGCTGCCAAACTCTGTTTGACTTTGTGAATAATCAGGTGGGGGATTTTTGGTAGGTTTTCTATATATGAGATTGCTGCTAGTTCATTCTTCACTTAAATAGTTATATGTATACAACATTGCATGTTTTTTCATGTGGAAGTTTGAAACATGTATTACTCTCTTATTTGTGCAGAGGGATGGTACTTATATGTTCAATTTGGATGGGTTCATTTCAAAACTTTGTAATCTAGCTCAAGAAATGGGAGATGATGTCAAAATACAACATTTGCATGCTTCTAGCCTTCAAGTCCTTTCATCAATGGTAATTAGAAGGCTTACATAGTCATATGCTGTCTACTTTTTCATGCTCTTTTCAATGTTAATCCGTTTATCAACGTACTAGACATGATAAAGATAAAGGGGATAATGTAATGCTGAAGTAAAATTGATAAGATTCTTTGCATGTTTTACAGGTTTGGTTCATGGGTGAATTCTCTCATATTTCAGTTGAATTTGACAATGTAAGTCAGTAATCGGTTTACATTTAGTTTTAAGGTATCTGCCCTTATTTACTCAGAAAAAACACATTAGTCATTGGTTGTAGTTTTTAGTACTTCTGAAATTAATGCACTTTCTTTGACCACAAGCTAGGTGTTTATTTAATATATAACTGAGAACTCTAATTTCTGTAACTATCAACTTAATTATGATGACTTTGATTTTTCAATATATTACATAACTGACTGTAAGAGTAAAAAAACCCACCTCCATTGACTAAAATTATTTATCATCTGGATTTTGCTTTCTCATTTATAAGCATTTATATCTCTTATAACAGTTCCACAGGACTGTTTGTCTTGCCCTTGTGTATACATCCTGCATTTGACAGCTTCATGCATCTCTTGTTAACTCAGGTTGTTTCAGTTGTTTTGGAAAATTATGGGGATGTCAAGCAAGATTCTCAAAATGGGAATGCGATGAGGCTTTATTCTTGGAGAATGATAGTGAATGACAGAGGACAACTTAACGTGCCTATGTAACTGTCCTCATTATAATAGCTTATGTTTTGAGTTACTCATCAGTGATAATTGTTGATAACTTCTTATTTTTCTTCTCCATAGAGAGGATGCCATGAACCCTGGATTTTGGTCACGAGTTTGCATACAAAATATGGCAAAGTTAGCCAAGGAGGGTACAACTGTACGACGTGTTCTGGAATCCTTGTTTCGCTATTTTGATAATGCCAATCTCTGGTCTCCAGAACATGGGCTTGCTCTTTCTGTCTTGCTCGGCATGCAGTCTATAATTGAAAATTCTGGTATTTGTTTTCTTGAATGCTCTAAGATTAGCTTTCTATTGAAGTATCTTTACCCTATCTGAACAGTTTATAATTGGGTACACTGTAATTTACAGGACAGAATACACACTTGTTACTGTCTATTTTAGTCAAGCACCTTGATCACAAGAATGTCTTAAAGAATCCTAATATGCAGCTTGACATTGTTGGTGTTATTACCCATCTTGCTCAACAGACAAGGGTTCAACAATCCGTGGCTATCATTGGTGCATTGAGTGATATGATGAGACACCTGAGAAAGAGCATACACTGCTCTCTTGATGATTCAAATTTAGGGGATGAAGTTATACAATGGAACCAAAAATACCGAATGGAAGTAGATGAATGCCTTGTACAGTTAACAATGAAGGTGACAATAAATTCCCCACTTGAAGATGATTTTAGTTAATAGTGTATACAACAAACCAGATTAACATACTTCTGTATGCACATTTGGATGTTTAATTTTAAATTATCTAATATTCTTTAGTGGTTACTGATTATATTGTTATGCAGATTGCAGATGCAGGTCCTGTTATTGATACCATGGCTGTGTTGTTGGAAAACATGTCCAATATTACAGTTATGGCCAGAACCTTGATTGCCGCAGTTTATAGAACTGCTCAAATAGTTGCTTCAATACCAAATTTGTCATATCAGAACAAGGCAAGATCACTTAAATTGCTTGATTGACTATGATTGTAATTTCCTTGCTTCTTTCTGACTTTTCTTCGTCCTTTTCTGTTTGTCTGCTACTATTTAGGCATTCCCTGAGGCATTATTTCATCAGTTACTCCTGGCAATGGTCCATGCAGACCATGAAACCAGGGTGGGTGCACACCGCATATTTTCTGTTGTTCTTGTGCCATCTTCAGTTTGTCCTCAACCTTCTTCTTCAAACCCCTCCTTGACAAAGGCAACTGATATTCAAAGGATGCTCTCAAGAAATGTCTCTGTGTTTTCTTCTTCAGCTGCACTCTTTGAGAAATTGGAGAGGAAGCAAGATTCCTCGCAAGAAGATAGTCATTCAGATGGAAAGACCAATGATAACTCCATTTTGAACAGATTGAAGTCAAGTTATAGTCGGACTACTAGTACAAGAAAATCTTCTGTGACTGCCAGTGAATCTATAGATAGCAGGAACTCAAAATCTAATAATTCTTCTGTGATGAATAGATTGAAGTCAACTTACAGCCGAGTCACTAGTGTGAAGAGGCCTCAATTCACAGTAACTGGTGAAGAAAATGGTACAAATAGTTCCGATAAACAACAGGTATATTCTTGCACTTCTTTCATTTCTACATATTACTATATATCAATCAAACACCACCAGATACTACCATTCTTCTTATGACTACCATGTCACAGGTATTACCCTTAAGGCTGAGTAGTCATCAGATTACTCTTTTGCTATCATCAATCTGGGCCCAGTCTATCTATCCTCTGAACACGCCTGAAAATTTTGAAGCAATTGCTCATACCTACAGCCTTGTCTTGCTAGTTGCTCGGAGTAAGGTAATGAGATCATTCTTGTTATTTTACTATCTATAAATAAATTAAAAATGGTTAGAGATGTAATATAAAACCACTCATGTGTCTTCACCTAAAAACTTAAGCTTTTGGGAGAGTTGGTTCATGATATGGTATCAGAGCCTCTATAACCAAGTGGTCTACATTTCGATCCTTGCCCACTTCATTCTTCTAATAAAAATTTCGGTACAATTGTCCACACTTCAATCTCAAAGGATTCTTGGTGTAAAGGGCATGTTAGAGATATAATATAAAACTATTCATGTGCTTTCATCTAAGAACTTATACTTTTGAGAAAGTTGATTCATGGAAAAAAACAATTTGTTCTTTGCAATTTACCTCGTTTGTGCCCAGAGCACATCTTATCCACTAAGCAGGTGACTCTCTCTCCTTATTCATACCATCGGACTATTAGCTAGAGGTAGTGGACTTCCCATTGCCAGTCATCTCTACCTTTGCTCCATAGATAGAATTACTAGCTCTTCAGCTAGACGTTGATATTCACCCCCGAACAAATGGTGATATAGATAAATGCCTTTTTTCTTTTTTTAGATGAATTTAAAGTCCTGCTACAATACATACTGCACCCACTTTAGTCACTATGTGGCTTTGGTTCTGTAATTCAATATTCTTTGGACTTTTTAAGGCGTTAGTTATCTTTAAAGGTAGCTTTTATTTTATCCTCATACCTTGTATGTTTTGGCTTCTGCAGAATTCCTCAAGTGAGGCTCTGATTCAAAGTTTTCAGTTGGCATTTTCCTTGAGGAGCATTTCTCTCAACGAAAAGGGTAGAGCCTTGAATCCCATATTATTTAATGTGTATGTTACCATGTCTGCATGTTATTGTCTTTGTAAGAATAACAGGCGCAGTATGAACAATGTATGCTATAGATGACTATCTCATGAACCCATGTTTAGAATCACATGATTTCTTTCCCATTCTTCCCTTCTAAGAAAAGGTTAGGTAGTCATGAAAGGAAAGATTTCATTCCTGCCTCTGTTATATTTCTTAATTTGGTATGTAAAGAAGGCATGGAATAACAATTCCATTTCAATCTTTGATTCTGCAAAGACAGGAATGACCATTCCTTCCTAGTGAGGTGGGAATGATCATTCCTTGCAGGTATGAATGACTTGGTGCTTGTTTTATGATTCCATTATAGATTAATTCCAAATGTACCAAAAATACACTTGGTAATAAATATGAACTTATATTCTGCTTGAACTCGGGTTTAACTTTTCCCAACTGAACCAATAGTAGAAACTCTCAATTCGCTTCTCATAAATGTTTAAATATTATCATTTTAACTAAATATTTATGTTAAAGGAGTCTCTATGAGTAAGTAAAAGTATGTTGGCCGGCACTTACTTTTCAAATTAAATATGAAGGTAAGGTTACATAATTTGGGAACAAAGTTTCTGCCAAAAATTCTCTATTTCATTGTCCTCTAATCAAAAGAGAACTTTCTTTTTGAATTGATGATTATGTAGGACGTACTTAAGTTTTCTCTTTCTCTTACCATATAACTAGAATTGTTTTATGGATTGAATGGTCATTAGATGGTGATTTCTATTCTGAATTTATAGGGTGGAAACCTTAAACTTTTATCAGGATCATCTGCAATTTCATCTCTCTGATTTAAAATGATTGAACAGAAAAAATAAAACAATAAGCATTTGTATTGATTTTTGCGATTGTAGTTGAAATCAAGTGGTCAATACGGCATGGAAAAATTCTAACGTAGCAAGTGATGTAATATGCTTCATAGGGTAGTATGGCAGTTTGGATTTTCCAAGATGTATAACATAGATCGGATCACTTCTTACATAACCATATAGAAGTGGAGGTTATAGCACATATTTATTTATTGCCTATGTTCTCATATTATATATATTTTATGCTTATTTTTTATATTGCTTTTGGACAAATCGGCTTAAAGTTGGATTGTTAAGGTGCCCAGCTTTGAAAAAGTTATTTTTTTTCCCAGTAAAACTGCAGCCATCACACCGCAGATCTCTTTTTACACTAGCAACATCCATGATTATCTTCACATCCAAAGCCTACAACATCCTCTCTCTCATTTCTATCGCTAAAATGGCACTGACAGATAAAACAGTATGTACATCTTGTTCCCTTCAATATTTTGCATTAAAGTTGTTCAATTTTTTTTTACTTTCCCACTTTCTCTTCTTGCTTGTTAATGGATTGATTGTTTATTCCATTGAATATGATTCTACCTATTTTATATTGCTATTGGATGTTATATAATTCTTTGTATCTCTTAGAATTTTTTGTGCTTCGTTTCAGGTTGATCCATTCCTGCAACTGGTTAATGACAGCAAGTTGCAAGCTGTTAATGATACAGTAAGGCAGCCAAGTAAAGTTTATGGATCGAATGAGGATGACGAAGATGCTTTAAAGGCACTTTCAGCCATAAAATTAACTGATAGCCAGTCAAAAGAATCATATGCTACTATGATAGTGCAGTCTCTGGTTAAATCATCAAATGTAACAACCAGATATTATGTAATGTTACATTAATTTATCAGGATCAGTGTACTAACTTTGAGCTCTTTGTGCAGCAGGAATCATCCATCTTAAGAGAACGGCTGCTTAAAGATTTTTCACCTGATGATGCTTGTCCATTGGGAGTCCAGTTATCTGTTGAGACAACAGGAAATATGTACCAGTCTGGACTAAAAGATGATAAACTTCCTGATATGGTAACTTGCACTGATCTGCTCTCTTTTTTTTTATTATTATTTCCATTTTATTTTAACCTTCTTAGTTCACCCTCATGAAATTATACAGGTTGATATTCCATTGTTTACTATTGACGATGACATTCTTCTGGCTTGTGGTTTGGAAAGCCAAACTAATCCTGATGCACAGCAGCAGCCTTCAGAAAAGCCAAACCTGCTAAGTGTTGATGACATTTTGGGTTCGGTAAGTTCTTCTTTTCATTGATATGTACACAATTATGACATATTTGGTTTTGATTATGTAAAGAATCTTGAGATACACCACCCCAAAAGCTAGTTCAAAGGGTGGGAGTGCCCAAGACCTTATAAACTCCACATTAGTTGCACATACAACCAATGTGGGACTATATATCTCAACACGCCCCCTCACACGAGAGCCCATTGGGCTTGAAGAGTGGAAGATGCAACAGGCCCTGCCTACCTGTGCTAAGAAAGTCCACAAGAGAAAGTGGGGGGCGGCGAGGCTCTGATACCATACCTTGAGATACACCACCCCAAAAGCTAGCTCAAAGGGTGGGAGTGCCCAAGACCTTATAAACTCCACATTAGTTGCACATACAACTAATGTGGGACTATATATCTCAACAGATTAAATTATAGGGAAATCACCCCCCCCCCCCCCCGCGCGCGCGCGCCGCGGTCTAAAAACCCTCTTAAATTTTGATTATAAGCTATTTTGGGTTGATTTGGCTCTCGACTTAGTTAAGTGGCCAAGAGATTACTGCACATAACCCAATTCTCCTAATAAAATTTTAATTTCAGTATGAGATTTGAGTGGGGCCTGTGTTTTGTCAATGATTCAAGCCTAAAAGGACTTTTGCACAGAGGAACACATTAGAGATATAAATCATTGCTGACCAACACCTAATAACCTAAAGCTATTGGGCTGATTTTGGTTCTCAACACACCTACTGTCTTGGAGAGTCACGAAGATTGCTTTTGCATAAGATAAAGTCAAGTACAATATTCCTGGACTCAGCACAACTAAATTAGAAAAGATATGATCAAATTCTTTTTCAGTTATAGAAAAAACTAAGAATGTCATCTCAAACCCAAAAATGGGAAGGTATTTTCCTATGTTTTAAGAATAAGAATAGATGAAAGAATCTCACATGCCAAAAGCGTAGCAGGTTTTGTGTTTTAGTTGGCCATGAATGAAATAAAAGCAGTAGCATACCCTATTGACAGACTAAAGCAGGTTATAGCGAAAAGGAGTCGTGTCTGTGTTGGACACATATCAGACACTTGCTTCGGACATGACACAACCTGTGAAGCACTAACACTCTAATCCTAAAAAGGAGCCATGGTTGTGTCAGGCGCTTATGTCGAAAACGACCTGGGCACTTAATTCTAATGTTACACTTTAAACTTTGTTGGGTACTTGGCTGACTGTCCATGCTTCCTAGTTCGGGAGACTCTCAAATTTTGCAGTGTCACAGTGTTCATGACCGTGCCATGTCCATTTCCATGTCAATGTCCATGCTTCTTAGCTGGGTATTCAATCTGCTGACCCTCCACATTTGTTAAAGAAATATAATATAAAATCATTAACGTGACCTTCACTTAAGTTTTTTATATGGTGTCCGAGTATGAAGGGATATTGTTGGGATATTCAAGTGTGATGAGTCCCACATTGGTTGGTAATGGGCTAAGTGAAGAGTATATAAGCGGAAGGGACCCATGAACCCAATGCCTTAAGGTTTTGGGTTGAGACATGGTGTCGGATCCACTTGCTACAGTTGGTGTAGCCTTAGCCCATTGGTGGTGGCCCCCCGCCACGGGCTTCCCCCTGAACCCATCTGACATTGGTATCAGAGCCGGGTTGGGCTCGAGCTAGCCTGGTGATTGGCTAGGAGGCGGGTCGAGTACTTTGCGCTTGGGGTACTCGGTTGAGGGGGAGCATACCAATGGTGGGTTTCACACTTGAGGGGGAGATTGTTGGGATATTCAAGTGTGATGAGTCCCACATTGGTTGGTAATGGGCTAAGTGAAGAGTATATAAGTGGAAGGGACCCATGAACCCAATGCCTTAAGGTTTTGGGTTGAGACATGGTGTCGGACCCACTTGGTGTATTTGATCCACTTAGCTCATTGGTGGTGGTCTCCCGCCACGTGCTTCCCCCTGGACCCGCCTGACAGATATGTTAGAGAAATATAACATAAAACCATTAATATTACATTCACCTAATAGTTTAAGCTTTTCTTTGCTGAAAAAAGCCTCTTGTGAACACACACCCTTTTCTTTCCTCACTTTTCTGAGCTAGTTCTAATGTAAATTGTACTTTCTGGTTTTACTGATTAAACTTGATTTGTCAAAACTAAAGAATTTTATTAAAAATAAATAAAATGATAATTCATCTGCAGGTTTTGGAGACAACACATCATGTAGGAAGGGTTTCTGTTTCAACACCTTCTAACATGCCTTATAAAGAAATGGCTCTCCATTGTGAGGCCCTTCTCGCGGGAAAGCAGGAGAAGTTGTCCACTTTCATGGGTACCCATCCAATACATGGAAATTCATTTAGTACTCCTGCTCTCGATTACAACCAGGGAAAGGACGTGTCCTCAAATTCCAATGTTCAAATTAGTTTGCCTATGGTACTGCTTTGCTTAATCCAATTTTGAAATTTCGAATAAACCTTTTTTGCTTTGATATATCTGCATCTATGGTTTATTTAAGGCACTTCAAGCTGCATTTTTTTGAAGGCAGGGTTTATTCATCAAATTTTACTGAATACTGACCCATTTATTGGATGTCATCAAGTTTAAAAACTGAAGTTATCTTGTTTCCTATAAACCACTCCCCGTTAAACCCGACTAGCGAGTGTGGGGTGGAGGTAATCCTTGTACACAGTCTTACCATTGCATAATTGCAAAGAGGCTATTTCCTGGATTCGAACCCATGACCTTTCAGTTATGAAGGAGCAGCTTTACCACTGTTTCGGTTCGCCTATCTTGTTTCCTGTAAGCAAAAAAAAATATCTATCTTATTCCCATGCTATTTGAATTGCAGAGTGGAAATCCGTTCTTGGATTCAAACTTAGGCTCTGCTTCACACAACACATTGCCTGACACTGCTCCAAGGCTTTGTGCAACAGCATATCAGCATCAAGCTGCCTTCTTTCAACTGCCAGCATCGCGTCCATATGATAATTTCTTGAAGGCTGCTGGTTGTTGATTCGTGACCGAAAAGATAGTGTGGCTCTCATGGGGTTGAGAGCTTCATGATAAAACTGTCCTCACATTACTTGATATACAAGATACTCGGAAAAGTTGCACTAGCTGATTTCTTCACCATGAATTGACAAACAATTGTTATGGTTGGATCAGTATGTTGTTTAGGGGCAACAATTATCAATCATGACTGTTCACTGAATCATATCTCTTCTGCATTGATTTGCTTCCAGCAAGGATGTGTGTCTTCTATTGGCGTCCTTGCAAATTTTTCAGAGCTGTTTATGTGGTGCATAGATAACCTACCCTTCATGTGAGTGTGTGCGCCTTTTTTATTCTTTCTCTTTCTTTATTGTCCTTTAACTTCTCATTCCAGTATTGGGGTGTGAGAATTTTGTTAAGACAATTCTTGTAGACAGAGATATGGACCAAACAAACCACATGAGAACAATTGCCATGACCTTGAACTTGGTTATTCCATGAATCAGTTTTGCTCCTTGAAGGCTGAAATAAGTGTTGAGAGGATATCATGGTATAGCAGTCTTGCCCTGGTTGGTTTACATTCCTTGTTAAAGTATTCAGGACTAGTAAGTATACACAACTGGGATAGTACAATTCAGTAAACCATTGAGATTCAGCATAAGGGATCCATGTTGTGAGATGCAGTTGGGAACTTGTGGTATCCAACTATTTATGTATAAGAGTGGTTCATGACTGTTTTTTAAAACTTTCGGTGTCTCATCATCTGTTGATAACAATTTGCAAAAACATATTCTATGTTCACATTTCTATCTCAAAGAGATAAGCAAAATAATATCATGTTTTATTGAGTGAAGTTGTTAAGTAATTTTGTATTACTCAATTCTAGTCTGCAAGATAGCGTGTCTTTCTATTTTTATGTTTTTGGATATAAAGTTAGAATAATTGGAAGGTTAACATCGGGAATTTTTAATTCTTTAAAAATATCATTTATTTAAAATTTAATATTTTTATAAAGAATCAAAAATTTTAGTCTAATACTTATACGGAATATATAACTCAAAATTAAGAAACTTAATTATAACTCTTATGTTGAATTTCAAATCCAATTTCAATATACTATGCGCCGTATTTCTTTTCCTTTTCTCTAAATTTTCTCCTTAGCCAAGAAGAAATTAAAAAAAAATAAGAAGATTAATTTACAATTTACACCTTTCAAATTCCCATTAAGATGGTATTAAAGACAAGACATTTTATGTAAATAAAAAGACTACACATTTAACAATCCATTCAATTTTCCTTCTCCTCCTCCTCCTCTTCTTCTTATTTTTTTTTTTTTTTATCAATACACTAAAATAATTTCAACTCGAAGTCATAATTAGGAGTGTGCAAAAAAACTAGTTCACTTGCCATGCCCTTGACCCGACCCATAAATACCTATATTTTTTGAACTGGTTTAATTACTTACCCACTTTTATTTGGGTCAGTTTTAGACCTGACTTGTTTTAATATTGACTCATTGACCCAAAACTTGACTCATACTCATTATGTGAAAAAAAAGAAAATCACAATTACATTAAAAGAAAAGTTTTAACGTAAAACAATTACGTCAAATTTTTTTACGGAAAATATTTACATAAAAAATTTTCGCAAAATTTTTTGACGAAAAATATTTACATAAAAAAATTTCGATAAAAAATTTTGACGAAAAAATTATTTTGTCAAAATTCTTTAGAAAATCTAAATTTCGTCGAAAGTTTCGAATGAAACATTTTTCTCGAAACAATTTCCGTTGAAATTTTCGTCAGAACACATTCCCATTGAAATTTTGAACGAAAAACATTCCGTCAAAATTTTTGATAGAATTTTTTTTTTCGTTTAAAACATTTAACGGAAGAAATCATTTTCGTCAAAACTTTTGACAGAAACTAAATTTCGATAAAAAAAAATTTTTTGTAACAATTTTCATTAGAGAAAAAATTTCGTTGCTTTTCGACAAAAAGTATTCCGACGAAAAAATATTTTTGTGACAAAATTCTCGTCATTTGCAATGTAGAAATTTTGACGAAATTTTGTGAGGCAACCAAGTCAAAAACGGGCCAGGTCAGATTCGACCAACTTCAGAAATCAAGTCAGACCCACTTCAGAAACCAAGTCAAGTCAGATCCGATCTAGTTCTGAACTAGTTCAACAAAATCCAAACCAAGTCAAACCTGACTTGAATCAAATTAAAGCGGGTCGGGTCGGGTAAAAATAATTAACCTATAAAAACCAAGTTAGGTCAAGTCGAACAAAAATCTGACCCGACATGACCCACGCACACACAGCGCTAGTCATAATCTAAATCGTCTCTTTTAATCTACCAAAAATAGAAGCAATCCATTGATAACTAAAAGAGTTGAGTAACTAGTTTTCAAATAGATATACCCTGATATATATTAGTCCTTAAATAGTAAAAACTATAACCAAGATATATAAACCTATATTCGATCGACTAAATCAATTTTTAAAGTTGTATTTTATCTGTCAATTTTGTTCATAAATTCGTGATTTAAAAATTGGTTTTACCGATAAAATACACATTTGAGAATCTAAAACGTAATTTCTATTATTTAAGGATTAATACGACCAACGTCATTTACCTTTTCTTTTTTTTTTGGATATTCCAACGTAATACTTTATCTCTCTCTCTCTCTCTCGAGTCTTCTTCAATCGAGTGCCACACAACAGGATCAAAACCCGATCTGGTCAACTTAAGTGGGTTTATATGTTATCAAGTTCAAATTTTTTTCTCTCTCGTGATGTTTGGTTCCCGAGAAAATTTATAGAATCTAATTAGTAGTTTTTTTTTCTGTTTTTTTTTTCTCTCTCTAAGTTTTGAACGCAATAATAATCTTGCAGAATGGAGGAAGTCCAAGAGCCTCAAACCCAATCACCACTCGGTAATTTGCATGCATCTCTTAGGGGAAAAAAATGATCTTTCTTTTCAATGTTGTATTTGCATGAAAAAACTATTTTTATCTTTTTTTTTGGGCACTGTTAATGGCTGCAGGTCAAGAAGATGAGAATGAAGTGATTACTGAAAGCTCTGCATTTGTTAAAGGGGAGCCAACACAAGAATTTAGTTACCCTCCAAAAGTTGATTCTCAAGTTGAAGTCCTTCACGAGAAGGTCACTAAACAAATAATTAAGGAAGGCCATGGCCAGAAACCTACCAAATATTCAACTTGCTTCTGTGAGTGCCACATTTAATCATAGTTTGACTCTATCTATGTTTGCAGTTAGTGTGAAATCCAATGTTGTCACTACAGTTCATGTCATGGTACACATGTTGCCTGCTAGTAAAAAGGCTCGATTCACAGAATGTTGATATGCAATTGTGTTTATCTAAAGTTATTTGAACTCATCCCTGTGCATATGCTAAAGTACTTTCATATCATGTGATATCAGATTTTTCTTTTTTTTCTTTTTTTCCCTGGAATGGCCTTCATCGTGTCTAGCTAGGTATAGCAACTTAAGCTATAATTTAAGCCAATATATGGAAATGTTTTGGTATGAAAATGTAAAATGGTTGGACTTTGGACATCTAGTGTTGTTTTACCATAAGAAAAACTTCTTGATTGAGGCTAGATGAGGACAGAAGCAGGGAGGGGCAAAGTTATATCAGGCATTAGTTCCTAATATCTACTCCTTTACTCATCTTGTGATCCCTTTCCTGCGTAGCCTTTTTGTTTTTCTTGGCAGTTCAAAATCATGAATGTGACCTAGATGGTATATGGTGGTAGTCCATTACAGGGCGTGGTCTGAGAGTACACAGCACAAGTTTGAAGACACATGGGAGGAGCAACGACCAATTGAGATGGTATTAGGAAAAGGTATGTTCCTGATGGAAGTTTGAAGTATTGGATTTCTTATGTTCATTGGTCAATAGGACTTGCGTGTTTTCATTGTCTGAGATTCCTATCATATTTATTCTCTAAATCTTTGATTTTCCTATTTGTGCATTGCTAATGGAACCTTGATGTCCAAGTATAGTGTGATCATCTTGCAGATGAGTTTGGTCAAATGACAGAATGATTTGTACATGTTTAAAGTAATGAATTCTGTTCAATATTTTGTCTTCAAATCTTTCTATTACAATTTATGCGTTGCTAACTTTCTATGATTGTGATGTCCATGCATATTGTGGCCATCTGCTATGTTAGACTTGAATAACCCCAACAACAAAAAAAGATAAATCTCGTGTATTGCTCTACCAGACTTGTTATTTGATTAAAAAAGGAAACAAATCAATCCTAATCAAGAGGAAATAAAAACTGATCCTATTTGATTGATTCCCATATATTAGAGTTTTGACAGTATCCCTAATATATGAAAATAATCTTATGATTTCCCACATTATTCGATTTTAATGGATTCCCTTGAAACAGAGAAGAAAGAAATGACTGGGTTGGGCATTGGTGTGGCAAACATGAAAGCGGGTGAGCGTGCGTTGCTGCGTGTTGGCTGGGAACTAGGATATGGAAAAGAAGGAAGCTTTTCTTTTCCAAATGTTCCACCCATGGCAGATTTAGTTTATGAAGTTGAGTTCATTGGCTTTGATGAAACAAAAGAAGTAAGTTTCCATTAAATTATTGTATGGCCATGGACTTGGTAAGATGCTTATAGCACCTGATTCCACAGGGAAAAGCTCGCAGTGATATGACGGTGGAGGAAAGGATCGGTGCAGCAGATCGGAGAAAGATGGATGGAAATGCTATGTTTCAGGAAGAAAAACTAGAGGAGGCCATGCAACAGTATGAAATGGTTACACACTTATGTTGCTTAAGCTCTTGTACATAGTTCTTACTTCTTTACTGTTCTTAATCCATGAAAATTTCTTTCTTCTGTTTATTTCTGTTTTGGGTTTGACAATTCCTTGATTGTCTTGGTTCTTGACAGGCCATAGCGTATATGGGAGATGACTTCATGTTCCAGTTGTTTGGGAAATATAGGGATATGGCTCTGGCTGTAAAGAATCCATGCCATCTTAACATGGCAGCATGTCTGATTAAGCTGAACCGCTATGAAGAAGCTATTGGACAATGCAGCATTGTAAGTATAAGACTTTAACATATCAATTTAGTACCAAATGCCTTTTATTTGTTCTATTTTTTTGCAAGCCATACAATTTATTAGGGTTCTGACTTCTGATAATTATTATTTTTCTTTCTATATGTATAACAGCATTAAAATTATCTTTTCTGCAAGTTCCTTTTACCCAGTTTTGGGTTGTGAATGGAATATAATTATAAATTAACTGATATTCTAATAATATGCTGCTTTTAGTGTCAGACAATAGTGAGTATTATATTATTTCTGACAAATTGAAGACAGCTAATGCTTTTTTTAACAAGGGTTCATTTTAATCTTAGCGGAGGAAAACTTCAAATTGTTTTTGTTTACTTGCATCATTAGCCAGCCAAATCATTCCTTGACAGAAAATGCGGACTTTATCACTTCAATGCTTTTTGTCAACAAAGGGTTGCTTTTGCTGCCGGCTTACCACGTAATTGTGGGACATGCTTTAAGTTTATTTGTTATGTAATAGGATGTTTTATCTCTGTACAGAAAACAAACCAAGCCAAATCTCTTAAGCGTTTTAACTTTTGATGAAGAAACTATACATTAAATTTGTGATGCAACAAAAAACCATGATTTTATGATCTGAAACTGAAATAATTTTTTCACTTCATAGTACATACATGAAGAGTCATTGTTCATCCACTTTTGTTTACTGTATGGTGGAATTTACAGGTACTGAGTGAGGATGAGAACAATGTCAAGGCATTATTTAGGCGAGGTAAGGCTAGAGCATCACTTGGGCAAACAGATGCTGCCAGAGAAGATTTTCAAAAGGCACGTAAACATGCCCCTGAAGATAAAGCAATTGCAAGAGAATTGAGGTTGCTTGCTGAACATGACAAGGCTATTTACCAAAAGCAGAAAGAGATCTATAAAGGAATATTTGGACCAAGTCCTCAACCAAAACCTAAGCCAAGTAATTGGCTGGTTCTTATTTGGCAGTGGTTGCTTTCAGTATTTTATGGCCTTATCACACTCTTCAAGCGTGAAAGGCACAAATCTGACTAATTGAACTGTGGAACAACAAGACCAATTTGTTTACGTGCATCCTACGAGATGGCATGTCTTTGTCCTACTAAGGGAATAATTATTACTTTTACTATTTATCTTTGCTGGTGGTACAATGAGTTGTTCAAAAGGCAGTGGTGTTTTCACTCTTCTGTATAGAGGAGTCGTGTTTGACAATACTACTACCAACCTCTTCTTTTGTTTACTTTTCAAATAGAGTTTTATAGTTCATCTAGAAGCGTATGCCTTTGAATTATCTCATGATTATGAAGAATTGCATGGGACATGTGATGAAGAATTGCTCTCAGCAGTAATGCTTCACTGTCTATAAATTTTGAATTGCATGTCAATTTAACTAAAATCATGTATGCTACATTGCTACTGTCATAATGATGTAAAATAACATTACTTAATTAATTAAGACAAGCCCAACTACCCAAACTTAGAAGTTAATGGGAAAAGGAAATTTTTGCTCTTATCTTTTGCAGGTAAGGAAGGGAAAGGGAATCCCAAAGTTTGCTAAAAAATAAATGTGATTATTTTCTTAGGTGCGTTTACGATCTTAATCTACATCAAGCTCAAGCCTTTAGGTACCTATAAATAGAGGTGGCAAAGTGGGAGATTCGCTTTGTCCCGTTATCAGTCTGTTAAAAAATGAGTCAACTCGCTTCGTTCCACTTTTAAAAGTGGGTTGAAAAACTCAATTCATCTCGTTTGGCGGGTTGGGTGAGTTACACTATCAGTCCGAGCTTATTTTACACTGACCTACCTCGGCCTGTAATTAATTCGTCAAAAAATGAGTTCATCCAGCTTTAGAGATGGGTTGAAAAACTCAATTCGTCTTGTTCCATTTAGCACGTGGGGCGAGTTGATCCATTTTAGTGACTGTACTTATTAATCATTAAACTGACTAGTATCCTCTTTTGCTTTGAAGGGGGACAAAGATAAGTTCCCAAGTGACCTATAAAGTAAAACTCCACAAAAATAATAAAATGCGCTATTTATAACAAAAGAGAATCACATAATTTGACTAAGAAAAAGGAAATGAATATGGACATATGAGTAACCATAGTTAACCATAAAAAAAGATGAAGATAACGGCACACACACACATCATCAATTACCAACATGCCATTCATATTCATAAAACTTCAACAACAATCTTTCTGTACACATGATCATTTTCCAAATATAAAATACATCTTACAATCTCTTGTGCAAAATAAAAGGCCAGTTCTTCTTACATCTTATATATTTTCTACAAAATGAAAGAGCAGTGCAGATAAGAAGTAGCTAGTAACTACCACAGATGTTTGTGCATAGAAGTCCAAGCACAATAAGCACATACTAGCTTCTGGGATATGTACACATAAACTGCAAATGATATACTCATTAGCAACAAGTCTTTCCAATCACCCTTTTGCTGTGAACTCAAATTCTGCTTAGACCTCTTCCCAAGCTTCTCAAAACCATTTAACAGTTTCAATTTCAACAAGTTTAGCTTTCCTCCTCCCATGTCTTTCTTCTCTTCAGGATTGGAATCATTGATGGGTCTTCTACTCTGGCAGGATAATAGAATAAAAATCCTGGGGTTGTTTCTGTTTGTGAGTTCATGACTAGGTGCCCTTTTCCTACAGCAACAGTGACCAACGGTGAGAGCTGCCATGGAAGGAACTATAGCAATGTGAAGATGAACATGTCACTGTGACTTAGTGCAAATTAGAATTAGATATTTTCTTCAAATGGGTCAATGGATAAGGGAACTATGTAGACCCGGGTATTGTATGGAGGAGGAACATTGAGGAAAATAAATAAATAACAAATTGGCTAATGTTTTCAAGATATTTTTCAAAGATTTGAATATAATAGTAATAATAATGGTGTTTCAATTTTTCTTTGCCTTATAAGTTTTTAGGAAAAAATATTTGTCCTTTTAAATGATATAACTTGTGTCATTTCACTCTCATAAGGAGGTGAAATCTACACTTTTATATTTTTTTGTCCACCCTCTTTCCTCTTTTATCTATCTCTTTCTCTCATTTGAAATGACACAACTTTACATCCTTTAAAATTATAAACACTTTTTCCAAGTTTTTATGCACATTTTTCGTGATTATTCCCTGAAAGACAGGAAAAAGAATTAAATAATTACAAATTTTAAATAAAAAATTGAATTTTTAGGTTTTTTTTCTTGTTTCTTCCGTTTTCATTTCTTTGAAATATATTTTAATAATTATTTTTAATATAATTTTATATAGAAAAACTTTTAATTTTTTAGTTTAATTTTTCCATGTATAATAATATTCAATTTAATTTTCATTATTTGTTTTTAAAATTTGTCAACAGTTATATCGATAGTTTTTAAAGATATTATATTTGTTGTCCTTTTAATTTCTATATTTTACAGTAATTTTATATAACAATATTGCGGGATTGTACTGAAATTAAAAGATAAAAATAACGTTGAGTATGATTATGTAAGTGAGAACTAAATTTAAAATATTTATATAAAATTTGAAGGGTTCGCTTTTTCTATGGTTAATGTAAATAAGTTATTTACATTTAGCCCAAAACGACATCGTTTTGAGACGAAAATCAATGTCTCATTTCAAGGTTATAATAGTCTTTTTCATTATATTTTTTTAATTTTTCAATCTAAAACGACGTCGTTTTGGGAGCGAATGTATATAACTTATCTACATACACTTTAGAAACATTAAAGTCAAATTTAAATTAAAAATAAGTATCGTGTTTAAGAATATTTAAATATATTGTTTTTTTTTTTTTTTTAAATAAAGAGGGGCTAAGCCCCTTTAAATATATTGTTTAGTATGAGTAAAGGGATTATATTAGCAAAAAAAAAAAAAGAGATTAGTTTTGTCCACCGGCGATAGATCCAAACCCCCGATTCACAACATATACATATATTATATATTTTTCAACTGAATACAAATATTTTAATTTAAATTTTTTTAAAATTTAAGACTGTTTACATATTTAATACCGACTTGAATACTATGAATTATATATATGTAGATATTTTATGATAAACTAGAGTAAAAAATTTTATTTTATTATAGGATTTGGTGTTTGTCATTTTAAATGACATAAGTTATGTTATTGTAAGAGAGAAATAGACACAAAAAATGAAAATTATTGGAGAGAGAAAGTGGGTGGTTTTTTTAATTTAAATTTTAAATAAAAAATTTATTTTGTGTCTATCTGTCTCTTAAAATGACATAACTTCATGTCATATAAAATGATAAATGTTTTCCCTTTATTATATTATATGTAAATAAAAAATGAATAAATTAATTTTAATTCATCATGTATTAAATTACATAAACAACCACAGTTTTTATCCTTTTCTTTAAGGACTTTGATTTTCTTATATTGTATGATAATAGAATTTTTATGTTATGACTCAATTTGTTATGGATTTCACATTTATTAAAAAAATTACACATAAATGAAAGAGTCACGATATAAAAAAAGATCTATTAATTTCATGTTATATTAGATAATTATCTCATGCAACAGAGACAAGATAGTGAAATCCACCATTTATAAAACAAAAAAAAAAATGTGAATTCCACTACTTTATGTCTGTTGCATGAGATAATTATTTCCCTATAAAAAACACTTTTCATGTCCCTTTCTCTTTAAGTCAACAAAAACTTTGCTTTTTAACATTGGTAAATCCATCATACAGGTGGCGTGGGGTATCGATTGGGTCCCAGCGAGCCTCTGATCATAATGTGAACCCGTTCGTAGACAATAAAACATGTAAAATTAGCGTCAATTTAAAAACTAAAAGCAAAATCACGTGACGTCAAAAGTGTGTACAAGAGTCAAAGGATGCCAGCTTTTATCACGCTCACATTCAAGTAAATATTCTTGTGTATAATTATTTTATAAATTTAAATAAATAATATTATTGATTATTTAGTTTATAATATTTATATAATAAAACTTACATAAATATCTCTCTCAAAATCATATCGTATGAATTTGAGACCCCTAATAATGTTGGGAATGGTACGGGGAGCCCAAAACCCATTGCAAGGGATACATCCATGGGCCAAGCAATAAACCACAATAAGTGGGCCGACACCACATTTTAACCCAAAACCTTAAGGCTGTAGGTTTATGGGTCTTTTTGCACTTATATAGTATCACTTGGTCTAGGTCTAGCCAATGTGGTACTTCATTACAACTCATACTTGAATACTTCCAACAAATAACGCCTCTGATCATGCATGCAGTCTGCATTTTAAGAAAAGAGTACAACAAGTTGCAGGCTGCAAGGTTTCGGATCTCCATAACCAACAACCTTTCGCCACGTCACAGCGTTGAAAAATTTATGGCATTCAACTATTGAAGATTCCCAATGCGAGATGTTCAAGATAAAGTTGGGGTGGTGATCAGAGATCACATGCTCAGATGTGCAGAGTATAATCCAACACAACCTGCCCCCATTACTGTCGGTTTTATGCTCTCCTTTTCCTTTTTTCTCCCAAATTTTGTAATTAAACATAGGAAAACATGGCCTCCCTCTTGAGGATCTTCGCATGTCATTTTTTGAAGATATTTAAATATATTTATTTCTGCTTCGTTGACGCTTCAAATTAATCTCATAATTAGTTTGAAGGAACATTTTATATTTATAAATTTTTTTATTTATAAATTCTTACAAATTACATTATTTTCTTTCAAAAGAACGCTGGTTACACTGTGTTCTCCCGAGAAAACATAGTGTAATTTGTAAAAAATTTCAAAAAAAGTTTGTAGACGAATTCTAATTTAAAAAATCAAAACTTGTGAACATATTAGGAGAACCAACTCTCCACGAATAGCTAATTAGAATTCGATAACTCAATTTTTTTTTCATAAATTTAATGTTTTAAGATGTTAGATCAAGATGTAGTATTAAATTCCTTCTTGAGGATTCCCTTTGCGATTTTGACTTCTCTAATCTTTTCTTCATGTATACTGGGGAGACAACCACTGTTCCAAGCTACCAATTGAAAAGATCATATTATCTTAATGTATTTTTTTTTATTTTTTTTCACAATGTGAAGTTGATAGCTCGTATGATTCGCTAATTTGATCCACACGAAGAATAATAAATAACAAAATGTGAAAAGAGGTTAGAAAATAATGCATTTATAAGTTACCTTTTTTCTTTTTTCTTTTTCTTAGTTATGTAATTTGCTTCCTAATTCGTTATGGTGGTAGACATTGTTATCAAAAACTAGTGTAAAAACGTAAAAATTTATATTTTTACGTTTTTACTAGAGTAATATGTGTTAAAACTCAAGTAAAAACGACTCTTGGTAAAAACTGGTAGAAATGTCGCGTAAAAATGTAAAAACAGTAAAAACTTACGTTTTTACTTTAAACTAAAAGTTTAATAAAAAAAAGATTTACAAAAAAAAAATTAAAAAAAACCTAATTTTCATTTTTCCCAAATCATATTCACAGTATCTTAATATATTTTTGTTTGGATATATGCTTTTTATAATTATGTCTTATAAAGCTGCAATTCTATTATAAGTTATGTTATAAGAAGCGTTTTGTGTTTTTGGATCATTGTGTGTATTGAAAGAAGTGAAATTATATCCTGATGAGCGATGATCCAAAATCTGCAGAGTGTATAAAGCAGTTAGAGCAGATTGATTATCCATTACTTGTTAATTATCACTGTTTATAATTTTGATACTTAGTTATGAAAAATAATTTTTCTTTTTAGATAGATAAGTGACTCAACATATGTTCATTCATTATGTGATATTTTTTTTACTTGCATATATATAATTTTGTATCTTGACCTTAAGTGGTAGAAAGTATAAACTTTACGTTTCGTATCGTTTCTACATTTTATGTTTCTACCACTCTTTTTTCGTTTCTATATAGAAACTCGAGTTTGACAACATTGATGATAGACGTTAGGAAGTATCTCCCTAGGAGTGAATTATATCTACGTAATAAGAGTTCAATTGAGTAGTGATATTAAAAATCAGAGCTCTAATAAAAGATATGCTCGGAAAAAAGGTGCATGCTGAGATTTGGTTTAGTAATAATGTTATAATTCGACAAAAAAATAATTATTTATCATGGTGAGGAGTGGTTTTATTTTAAGATATTATTTTTATCATGTTATATGACAGAAAAATCCTCTTATATATACATAAAGTATAATGTGAGTCCAACTAAATAACGTACAAAGGTAAGGCATCTAAACGTCTTGTATATTAGAATATCTCCCTCTCACTTTTCTCTCCACTGTCGTCACTGCAATGTTGACAGTGGCTGCAAGATGCCTTGCCTAGTAAGATCAGGCTATAATGGTTCTCCTTATATTCGTTGACTTGGCTCCCTCTCCTACATTGATGGAACTCAATCCTATCTAGAAATATCTATTTTCTTGTTACTAAGCACACATTTCACTGATTGTATGATTTGTTACTCTACTAATATTGAGAATTATTGTAGCCGTTCTACACCTCCTCCCTTATTTACACAGCGCCTAGGAAGTTTTTACATAGCCTTGATCCATACTATTGCTGCTGTTAAAGACACCCTAAAGTGACATACTACATCATTTGGAAATACATACGTGGCTATTTGATATTAGTGACAGTTCAATTAGCTATATTGAAATAGTGTTAGGTAACTTGGATCCATCCCAAAATGCCGTGTTACGTCTTTTTATTCACTTCAGCTGTTCTCTTACCACGATTAATGCCTCTGAAATGCGTTTCAAGCAACCAATGTGTTGGGTTACTCTTTAAATAAAATAACATTTGTAGTTGGCTTTTCAATTGTAGTGTAGTGTTCAACCCAAGGTTAATTACTAGCTACCTAACTCGTTTCTATGTTTGACTTCATTAACAATTGAGCAGTTATTAAACATCGGTTGGTAGCTTTTGAAACAAATTTTTAGTTACCTAAACTAAAATTTGCAACTCTTCTCTTGTTCCAATTTACTCAAGAGCCAGCATTGAAAATTATATCTTTTATTTATTTTCACTATATTTATTTGTTATGTTCATATAAGTCACAAACAAAATAAAAATCTCTTTGAATACAATGTATAAATGATTTTTTTTTTTATGGGAATGTCTTTTGGGATTGATTATATATTTTAATTGTGAAATCAAGTTAACTCAAACTTGGTTTGATAAGTTAAATTAAGCTGAGCCTAACACGAACCTGGTAAAAAATGATTTGTATTAAGATTGTTGTTATTTGAGGGTGTAAATGAATAATGCGATCTATCAGGGTCTATGATCCAATTTATATTAGACCGGGTCTAACATAGTATATTTAATAAAATAGATTCAACAAAATACATAAACAAATTCACTATCTATTTTACGTCGAGTAATACATAGTACAATACTCATTTGATTAATTTTGGGAACGTTCGATTCCAAAATTATTGAAATTGGTAAGTCGTCAATCCCTAAAACGGATTATGTAATATACTTTTATCCGTTGGGTTATAGGTGGATGTACATTTTATTAGAGAGCTCTAAAAAAACTTGTTTAGAAAATAGAGCATATGCCTACAAATCTACAGGTTAGTTTATATGGTATTATTTATTTTAATTAAATAAAAAATAATTATTTATATAATTTTAATTAATAAAAAATTGTTTTATATAATTGTTTTTAATTTTGATAGTTATTAAAGACTTAAATAGCTAACAGGCCTAAGTCAGATGTTTTAAATTTTAAATATAAGTCAAACCAAACCTATAATATAGCTTCCATCAAATTAATAAGTCATTTCAAAGTATTTTATATGAATTGACGAAATAGATAAAAATTTAAATCAATGGTGTTTGTTTACACCCCTAGCTGAATTATTAATTTATTGTAATATTACAAATTAATAGTGATTGAGCACGGTTGCCCATAACACCAACTCCTCTTATTATTAGTCACCGTATTGGATTTGGCAAAATGAATCACCTAATTCTGCCCAACTGTTATTTATTGATTTTAAAATTGAAAAAAAAAATACAGATAAAGAAAACCAACTCAAAAGATCGAGATAAAAAAGAAAGAAAGAAAAAATACGATCCTACATATAGAAGTATTTTTTGTATTTATACAGTTAAATTTATTTTGTATGTGTATGTAAGAACATGATAAATATTAAATCCATAAATTTATCCCCGTGTCCTTTAATAGTTTTTTTATCACGGTTAAATTATTATGATTCTCTCGCGGTTATTAAATAAATAATACATGAGATGGTATATTAATGGCAAAATAACATGAAGAGGAAGAACAGAAACGTGTCAGCGTATGAGTGGTGTATGAAACACACAGTATTTGTGAATCCACCGCATGCAATACAATACAAATCACCCCAATAAAAACTAATTTAAAGTACAAACAAGTCAAGTGCGTTGTGTTTTTAAATCCCACTATCATGCGCCGGAAACGCACAATGCGCATACTGTATCTTGCTTTCGGGTCTTACGCATGACTAGTGCGTTCTACGCACTTTGCGTATCAAAGTCCAACTCTCTCTTTTTTTTCTTTTTTCTTTTTTTCTCTCTCTCTCTCATAAGTAGTTAAATTAAACTGCGTTGACTGGGATAAGTCACCACAACACAAATCTCTCACCTTTTTCATTTTCTTTCCTAACATGACCGTACACCCACCGCTCGCCGGAAAATCTTTTCCGGTGAAGTTTCCGATCACCGCCTTCTCTCTCCAATAAACTCTCCTTAGCTTTTGCTTCCTTCTACGCAGCTCCTTCTCTGTTCTGTTTTACCATCTTCTCCTTGTTCTGGAACTAGGTTTCCGGAAACCCTAACCGCGGTTTCTGCAACTGCTCCATGAGTTTCGGAGAAGTATTTTTTTTTTAGTTATTCAGATTCAGCTCGTTTTAAATAGATAAACGCATCTTGCTCTGTGTTATTTTTTTCTGGTGATTTTTTTGTGGTGTTTGTTATTGTTTTGAATATGAAGAGATTGAGGTCCAGCGAGGATCTGCACTCGTACGGTGACAAGAATGCTAGCAAGGATTCGAATCTGAACCGTTCGTTTTCTTCATCTGCGCAGCGAAGCTTTTATTATAAGCCTGAGAATGGGCGCAAGGGTTTGCTCCCTTCCTCATCGTCCCGCTACGATAGAGATCGGACGGTGGATGAGGATCGGGAGGGTTCGAGGTTGGTTCGGAAGCGATCCGAACATGATTTCGAGGGTTTTGATCGGAGGAAGGGGTTTGATCGGTATAGGGACAGTGGTTATGGTGGTGGAGGAGGGGATAGGAATTTGATTCACCGGTCGGAGAGTTTCTGTGGTTCGAGGAGGGATTTTCCGAAGGGTTTCCGGTCGGAGAGGGACCGGTCGCGAAGGGAGGGTAGCGTGTCGTCGTGGCGTAGAGGATTGAAGGATTTCGATGAGAGTGGTAGAGGGAGTAGAGTTGGGGTGGAGGAGAGAGTAGTGCGGTCACCCAAGGGCTTGAGGGATGTGAAGTCTCCTACGTGGTCAAAGGATTCTGAGAGTGAGCAATCTAAGAAGAGATCCTCTTCTCCAAGAGGGTTTAGAGATGCCAAGTCCAAGTCAAAGTCACCCACTTGGTCTAAGGATTCCGAGAGTGAGCAGTCCAAGAGTGAGCAATCCAAGAGTGTTGAGGTGAAGAAAACTGAGGAGTTGCAAGTTCAGAGTGGAAACACTAGTGAAATGGAAGAAGGGGAGCTGGAACCTGAACCCCTGCCTCAAACTGAACCCGAAGCTGCTCCTCCCAAAGATGAAGATGGTCCTGGAAGTGAAGACCAGCCCTCTGTTCCTTTGGAAACTGATGACAAGAAAGTTCAGAATGAATGCCAGCTCAATGACACAGATACTGCAATGGCCGAAAGACAGGAATCGTCAAGTATGCAAGATGTAAAACCTAATGAGGACGTTGATTCTGAGGTAAAAGATGCAGGAAAAGAAGCTGATAAGCTGCCAGATATTCAAGATGATCCACCCAAGAAAATGCTTGTTACTGAGACCGAACATGACACAGTGGGTAATGTTGATGATAAGAAAGACGAGTGTTTGAAAGCTGATACTGAGTGCAAGTTGGAAACAAAGGAGGCAGCAGATATGGAGAAGCCATTGTTTGATGAGGAGGAGCATAAGCAGGACAAGGGTGTAGATCTGGAAACTAGCGCAGGTGTTGACAAACCTGAGTTAAATTATGAAGTCTCAACAGAATATGAAGTTCCCAAAGAGGTAAGTAGTGAAATGATGATGGAGAATGTGGCCAACAATGCAAAGGATAAAGGCAAAAGAGTCTCTGTTGCACTTACTGATGTTGCTCATTCTTCAGAAGAGGGCTTATGGATTGATAGAGGATCAAGAGATCTCACAACAAGCTCTGCTGATGTTATGGAAACTCCAAGCACAAGGGGATTTGAGTTGTTTTCCAGATCTCCTGTTAGAAAAGTGGAGAAATCAGACCACTCGATTCTCAACAAGCAGAAGGATGACAGTCTTGGGATGGAACAGCTTGATCTTACTCTTAGCTTGCCAAATGTTCTGTTACCTATTGGTGCTCAGGAGACAACAACACAAGTTCCTGGATCCCCCAGTCAAGCACGGAGCGTGCAGTCATTAAGTAATACATTTTGTACTAACTCAGATGGTTTCACTGCATCAATGTCCTTTTCAGGTTCCCAATCATTCCATCATAATCCAAGTTGTTCTCTAACAAAAAATTCGGTGGACTATGAACAATCTGTTGGCAGTCGCCCCTTATTCCAGGGAATAGATCAAGTTTCTCAAGTATGTTGGCAAGGCCAGTCTCAGAGTGAACCCAAACAGAAAGAAGTTCCTTTTGGTCAGAGAACTTTGATGAACGGAAATGGCTCTTTGTACCAGTCTCAAGCATCATGGGGAGTTTTAGATGGTCAAGCTGTGAAAGGTCATAATCCTAGGGTTCTAGAAGGGAGCTCGAAAATGGGCAGTGGGCTTGAAAGGCAATTGAGTTTTCATAAGCAGGTTTCTGGACAGTCAAGACGCCATGAAGATGTAAGATCTCCTTCACAGAGTGTTGGGTCTCACGACATTGGATCAAATCATAGTTTTGAGAAAAAGAGGGAAGTTAGAGACAGGAGTAGTGGTAGTCTGTATCGAACTACCAGCCAGAAGGAACAAGAACAACTTCTGATGGATGGTGTTGATTTTGTTGAGACAATCATTGCAAGAATAGTTTCTGACCCTGTGCATGCAATGTCAAGAAAGTTCCATGAAATGACCGGACAGTCCATAGCATGTCTGAAGGAGGGTATTCGAGAAATCATGCTCAATGCACATAAGCATGGGCAGATACTTGCTTTTCAAAAAGTTCTACAGAACAGGTCTGATATAACCTTGGATGACCTACTGAAGTGCCACCGAGTGCAACTGGAAATTTTAGTTGCTTTAAAAACCTGTTTAACTCATTTTCTTCACCTGGACAACAGCATTTCATCTTCTGATTTAGCTCAAGTTTTTCTGAACTTAAGATGTAGGAATCTTTCATGTCTAAGTCAGTTGCCAGTGGACGAATGTGATTGCAAGGTTTGTGTGCAGAAGAATGGTTTTTGCAGGGAATGCATGTGTCTTGTGTGTTCTAAGTTTGATAATGCGTCAAACACATGTAGTTGGGTTGGGTGTGATGTTTGCCTTCACTGGTGCCATACTGAATGTGGATTACGGGAATCTTATATTAGAAATGGGCATAGTTCTACTGGGACGAAAGGGATGACTGAGATGCAGTTTCACTGTATTGCTTGTGATCATCCTTCTGAGATGTTTGGTTTTGTCAAGGAGGTGTTTCAAAATTTTGCAAAAGATTGGTCAGTTGAAACTCTTTGCAAGGAACTTGAATATGTGAAGAGAATATTTTTTGCCAGCAAGGATATGAGAGGGAGACAGCTGCATGACATTGCAGATCAAATGCTGCTAAGGTTGTTGAATAAGTCTAATCATCCTGAGGTTTTGAGGCACATCATGTCTTTTCTTTCTGGTAAGCAACAAATTTCTTTGATGGTTACATACTTTTCTATCATGTCATTTTAATGCTTCTAGACAAATTTTACAGGATATATAATGCTTTCTTTAACCTTTTCTTTTTGTATACGGTAAATTGAGTGGGATTTGCTGAGTGAACATTTTTTTGGTAACTTGCAGTAAACAAATTAAATATGTTGGTACATCTTACTTTGAGCACATACATGTTAAGACACTCGGAGTTTATGGTCCATATTGGTCATGTAATTTTTTTTGTCATCAAGGCCTGTACACCTGTACTTTAATTTGGGCAATAAAATTAAAACATATATCCGACTGAATCACATGCATGAAAATATTATGGTTGCAAGATTTGAATAACCCTGAATATCGGAAACACAACTTCTTGTTTAATTTGCTTTATGTTAAAGCCAAAATTCTGATTTACTCTTAATTTGTTTTACTGCGGCAAGTCTAGACCTGGTCTTTTTTGGACTGTATGCATACCACAATAACAACTCCATGTCAGATTATTATTCATGTATTCATTAGAATATCAAAGCTTGGGAAAATGCTGCATTCTTACAGCTTTCCCTACTAAACTTCTGTTGCCTTTTTCTTTTTCTCTTTTCGTTTCAATAAAAAGCCATAAAAGGGTTGAAAGAATGAAGGGTAGGGGTATTTCGTCAGATCTATAAGGAACTTAAGATAGTACACATCTCGGATCTTTCTATTTCCCACGTGTGATTTTGTTTGGCATTTATTTTCTTTTGACGTTTGCATCAATAGTATTTGTGAAAGTTATGGGTGCTTATTTACATGCATTATGGTTATTGCAGATGGTGATTCTGCCAAATTAGCCTTGACAACAAAGTTTTCTGGGAAGGAACAAATTAAAGAAAACAATGGAGTAGCTGGACCCAGCCAGGAAGCTGCTTGGCTGAAAACTATTTATTCAGAGAAACCACCTCTGTTAGAAAGGCCTGCAAACATCCTTCCTACCTTTGACCAGAATGATAAAAGGACTCTGGCGCAAGAGTTGCAGATGAGTAGGGTCCAAAAGGACTTTGGTTTTGATGAATTGGAGAGTGTAGTAAAAATTAAACAGGCAGAGGCTAAAATGTTTCAGTCACGTGCTGATGATGCTAGAAGAGAAGCTGAAGGGTTGAAACGCATTGCCGTTGCAAAGAATGAGAAAATTGAAGAAGAGTATACTAATCGAATTGCCAAGTTGCGGTTGACTGAGACTGAGGAAATGCGTAAACAAAAAATTGAAGAGCTCCAAGCATTAGATAGGGCACATATGGAGTATTTGAACATGAAAAAAAGAATGGAGAGAGACATTGAAGATCTGTTGTCTAAAATGGAAGCTGCTAAAATGAGCCTTGCAATGTGATCAGCTGATCAAAATATCTAGTATAGTTCTTTCAGGTAAATATAATATGTCCCATCCTGAAATTTGTAGGTTCTCGTGCCACCTTATTGTTGTAAGCTACTGTAGTTCTGATCCGTAGTTGTATCTATCTGTTGTAGTAGTTCATTTTGCTTTTAAGATGCTAACCAAATTCTGTAGGAGTTCATCACAGCAGTTAGTAGTCTTGTAAAACGATTCCAATTATGAAAGCAATTTAAAATATATTATTATTAAAACAAACTTACAGGATTTGCTGTAGATATTATGCTTTGAACGTTGCCATCAAGTTATGACTTCATTCACTGTATTTGTTGCATTTAAGTCAGTGATGATTTCTTGGTTATCTCTGTATAAGTGTAAACCAGCTGGGCCTTTTCCCTTTCTTTAAGTTGGGTCTTCTGGGAATGAGGACAGATATTTGCTCAGGATTTTTTCTCAGTAAGTTCAGTGTTTAAATCAATGGATAAAGATTCCTCAGCTGTCATTTCAATCATAATGATGAATACATAAGCCTAGAACTAGTTTGATGCTTTTACAAGTATATGAGTTGTATTGTTTATCTCGTTTTGAGAATGTTTTAAATTACTGGCTTTTGGTACATGAGTAATTTTTTTTTATCTGAAAATCTCGATTTTTAAAAATATGATTTTTACGTTCAGTTTAGGATAATATTCGAAAATTAAAATTTTTAAAAAATTCAGTTTTTTGAGAATTCGAAAAAATGCCGCGTACCAAATGCGGAGGGAAAAACTTGAATCAGGATTTTTCAATATAAATAGGGTTTTATTAATGTTATGTTACATAACTTAAGTTTTGTTTCCAACACATACAACAAAAAAGAGAGAGAAAGTGGAATGATGAAAGAGAAAGAAAAACATGTGGACCCCACCTCTTTAATGTGTGTGTAGGAAAGTGAAGTTGTGTCATGTTACATGATAAACATAAAACTCATATAAATATCATACAAACACAAAGAAAACCTTTGATTTCTATGACTAAAATTGAGAGAGAAATAAAATGGGTTGGTTGCACTTGTACTTATATGTGGTACTTTGGGATTTGGATGGATAGTAGAGGTCTAGTTCTTGCTGCAATATCAACCACTTTGCTACATGCTAGCAGAGGTAGAACCCAGAGACATGTCCACGCTTCTAATTTCATCTTTCTCAGCACTTTCTAAACAGTTAGTGAAATGAGAAGCCATTTGATTACAGCAGCAGTAGTAGTGGTACGACAACGTTTAATCATAAAATATTTAATTTTGTATACTTGTAAAAATTTATAGTTATATTTCGCTCGATCACTGATTAAATTTATTCATTATTAAATCATCATCTTTTATTGATTTCTTGGTTGAACCGAATTTTAATATATTTCTGTCAAACACACTTTTAAGTGGACCTTCTAGTAGAAATGGATATTATACGACGTGCCCCATCGAAATATTTGGCTCCACTAAGATTGACAGGAGAAAAACAATTTTGTATGAATAATGTTTACCAAGATATAAAGATAATTAATGTCGTTGGGAAACTACCAGTGGAAGTAAAATCCTTTGCAAATTGGTCTCTTGGGATGATTATTGTCAGAAATCAGTGAAAAAATGGGATACCCTGACTTCTTTATATGTGCCTCTCTTTTTTATTTTATTCCCCTAATTTTGTTTTTATTGAATTTTTTCAACATTTCTAGGTTTGGCCACGTTCCAATGATCTGTTAAAAAAAAAAAAGCACATGCCCTGTCTCTTTCACGGAGAAAGATCAGAACATGCCATTCATTTCGGTCTACTCAAACGATACGAATTAATTAAACAATGTTAATAACCAGCAGTATCTTGATTTTGTGACTTCAAAAGACTTTATCTTAAACTATGTTTAATAGTTTAAAAATGGTTTAATTGAATGAACTCCTACGATCGATTTGACATGGAAGATAAGATAGGCTGAGACCTGGAAGAAACATAAGCAGCAATTATAGTACACTTCTTCTGCTTATCAATTTTTTTACACGCCATAGAAATTGACCATTTTTCAATTCCAACCATATAATTAATTTCTGATTTTCTGGGACAATTAGCACATGCACTTGTTTCTTCCTTCCAGATGGCTCCTCTACCCACCACTCCCTCTGTCATTGAAAATTTGTTGGTTCCTGATTTTCTCATAATTTTGACACCAACTAGGCAGCTAGAAATTTATTGTTCACCATAGTCCATAAATAGAATGAGAAACTAAAAGTGAATCCATTTGCATATGAGGATGCAGATAATCAAAATGGATAACAAATCATGCTAGCTCAGTTGGTAGTAAGAGAATTAAATAAGTGAAAAGGAAAAAGTTTCGATATCCTCACATATTACCTTTGGAAATGATTTAAATATCTTTATTTCTGACCCGCCTGGCATTACAGATTAATCTGATAGCCGGCTCAAAATAGTCGAAACTTGTGGGAATATTGAGAGGAACCAACTCACCTCAAAAAGTTAATTAAGGTTGTGTTAACTTCAAAAAAAAAGATAATCAAAATGGATATGAACAACATGCATGCCCCATGTGTTGCCTCTCCTCTTAAATAGGGTCATAAGAAAAAGGCAACTGTCAAACACGGATCTTGATAGGAAAACATTAACAGTCGGAGGAGTGAAGAACTCACTAGGCACTAGCCATTAATATATATCTTAAACTTTGGTGAACACAATTAATAATGCAGGTGGTCCAAAGAATAGCAATGTGGCCACTTATAGATACACTTTGGGTTTGAAATTACAAAGGGCACGAAACAACCTTCATCAGTTCGAAACCGATATCAAAAGATATTGTTCCATTAAAGGAAAAATATTCATAATAGCGAGTGCTGGCAGTCAACTAGTGTTTAGAATTTGAGCACACGGGCCCTTTTTATTGGTTAAGCAAATGGAAATAAACTAATAAATTGTGGATTCTGTAGCAGTTTGAAGAACTATGTATAGATTTTGTTCAAAGATGTTAGATGCTCATAGCATAAATTATGGAGAAAACCTCGGTTGGAAAAGTCAAAACTTGAAGACAAATTGTTGTTCCCAGTATATAATATAAAAAAAAGGGAAAAACTAATATTATGTCATAGAGACAATCAATTGTGGGGTCCATTATTTTTAAAATAAAATAAAAGTAAAAGAATTGATGGACACACTTTTATATTTGTGTAGAAAAATTGCTTGTGTCATGTAAAAAGAGAAAAACATTACCCATAAAAAAATGTTGTTTTTATAATGCAAGGGCGTGTCATTAATTTTTGGAGCAAAGTATATTTTGTTTCCTTAACAAGAAATATTGTCGTCATTTCACTCTCTTATATAAAAATTTAGTCGTTTGTTCTTTATAAAATTTAAAGTAAATCTGTTTTAGTTTTTTTGAAAGATCAATGTGAATCTTTTCTAAATTTATAAAAAACTACAATTTCAATCAGATGAATTCAATTTAAATTTCTTAAAGACCTCGAAATTAACATTTTTTTTTATAAAAAATTAAAATGAGAATCATATTTTTTTTCGATACAAACTCAAAAAGTAATTTTTAAGTTTTAGTAGATCAAAATTACAAGTTTTAAGTACACTTTACACGTTAAACTGGTTTAAGAAGAGTCTTGTCCTTCATCAAACTTTACTTTTATTTCACCACTATAAAATGGACTAAAGTTCCATCCACTGCTCTTGCATATTAAAACCCTGCTCCTCCTTAACAACCCTAGTTCAGTTCAGCTCTTTTCAGATTTGTTTATTTTGGTTATGAAAATGGCAGTGACATTCATATTTACATTTTTTCTGGCTTTGCTATTTGCTGTTTCAGCTTCTGCTTCCGTTCAACCAAGGTTGCCAGAAGGTAATGCTCATGTCAGTCTGATGCCAATTCATTTTAGACAAAGAAGTGTGGTACTTCACATGTTTAAATGTTTGAATCTAAGCTACATTTTTTGCTTTTCTTGTGGAAATCTGTTCCCTTGTTCTGTATCATGCACACTCACTCTGGTTTATGAGTTTGGCAAGTGTCTAAAGTCTAAACTCAACCTGGTCTAGTTATAAAGTGTGTTATAATCTGATGTCATGTGCTTGTTGAAGTGGCTCTATGTGTTCCCTTTGCTTGGATTTGATTTTTTGCACTTAATAGCACACGGATTCTAATGTTGTTTTTGTGAATTGTGACAGCTTACCTCCAAAATGGGAACTTTGAGGAGAAGCCAGACCCTAAATCCCTCAAGAAAACCAAACTCATTGGGAAATATGCACTGCCCAAATGGGAGATCAATGGTCTAGTTGAGTATGTCTCTGGGGGGCCACAACCTGGAGGCATGTACTTCCCAGTGACTCATGGAACACATGCTGTGAGGCTTGGCAATGAAGCCTCAATCTCCCAAACTATCAAGGTCAAACCTGGTCAATGGTATGCTTTAATACTAGGGGCATCAAGGACTTGTGCTCAAGATGAAGTTTTGAGAATCTCAGTGCCTCCACAGACCGGAGATGTTCCTTTGCAGACACTTTATAGCCTTAATGGTGATGTTATTGCTTGGGGATTCATGGCCACTTCCACTGTTGCCAAAGTCACATTCCACAACCCTGGAATTCAAGAAGACCCTTCTTGTGGTCCACTCTTGGATGCCATTGCTATCAGAGAGTTCTACCCTCCAAGGTCTACAAGAGGTAATGGAACATATCCACATGCGTATGCTTTTTCACTCTAGGAACATAACATATTTGAAGTCGTGCAAATGCTACTTGGGTGTTTTTTTTTTTTTTTTTTTTTTGTTAGGGAATCTTGGTTTTGTGTTTTGATCTTTTTACCAAATAATGTCAACGAAGATCTTAATGCTGTTTTAACTCATCTGAAAGTTGTAGGAATCAACTAATTAATATGCTTTGTAGATTTGTTAGATTCCATTTGCCTTGCTGAATTATGACTTTATCAGATTGGTCCCTTTGTGATTCAATTCACATTTCTAGTGTTTCCCAAATTCTTCCTTAATAAAATAATAAGTTACATTTTTATAGTAGATGGGAATTGAATCTCTACCTTAGGCAGCCAAATAAATGGAGCTTATTGTATATGGAATATCAATTCTGTGCTTTTCACTTTGCATTGTTTTGGGAGTTATGTTTTGCTTATTTGAGTGAGTCTGATAAGACTAAAATATGGTGTCTTGCAGCTAATCTGGTAAAAAATCCTGGCTTTGAGGAGGGTCCATTCCCTATTTTCAACTCTACCAATGGTGTTCTGCTTCCTCCCAAACAACATGATCTCGTGTCTCCACTCCCGGGTTGGATTATTGAATCCCTCAAAGCCGTGAAGTTCATTGATTCAAAGCATTTCAATGTCCCATTTGGACAGGGAGCAGTAGAGCTTGTTGCAGGCAGGGAAAGTGCCATAGCCCAAATTCTGAGAACAGTTCCCAACAAAGTATACAACATGAAATTCACAGTTGGAGACGCCAAAAATGGCTGTCATGGATCAATGATGATTGAAGCATTTGCTGCAAAAGATGTCCTTAAAGTTCCCTTCATATCTGAAGGAAAGGGCAGATTCAAGACCGCGAGTTTCAATTTCAAAGCAGTTGCAAACAGAACCAGAATCACATTCTACAGCTCTTTCTACCATACAAGAATTCAAGACTATGGATCTCTTTGTGGCCCTGTTCTTGATCAAGTTATAGTGTACCCTGTTGCCTAAATACTAGTTGTCTTGTTCTACAATACCTAGCTTTTGAGATTTCCATGTTGTATAATTTGCGTGAAGGAGAGAAAAAATTCTTCATTTCTATTCAGTCTTGTGAGTTGTGACTAGGTTTATCTTTTCCTTTTATTCCGATAATACATTAGACCAATTTCTATATATGTCCTTCACAAACTTTGATAAGATGATACTTTGGAGTTTGGACTTCCTCAAAAAGTTCAATTTCTAGCTGCTTCATGTTTGGTATATGATCTCTGGTACCACTTTAGATGCTAATTGTAATTGATGTCTTTCTTTTATGGGAGGAGTTATATTGACAAATTTTTTTTCTTACAAATTACACTAAGTCTGACGAGTCATACTTCAATCAAGAATGTATGACTGATCAGACTTAGTGTAGTTTGTAAGTTTGTTAGAAAAAAAGTTTGTCAATATAATTCTCCTCTTCTTTTATATTATAAAAGAAACAACAAATATTTTTCCACTATGCCTCCCTAAAGTATTAAATAGGAAACACGGATAGGATCTACTGAGGCATCCATAGCATAACATAAACATTGGATGCTAATGCTGTGAATATTTTTATTTTAAGCATTCTTCTGAAAGCTTATGGCTTAAGCGGAGACATTGCCTGCATAGTAAAGCCAACACGGAAATATCATGAATGCATACTTGTAAGTTGTAAGCAAGCATGTGACAGAGCAAACACAAGAAGTTAGATTTAAGGGAGATAGTTCCTATTCTTGAATAATTGAAACAAATGAATCTATACGTTTCAAAAGTTATTGTTCATGTTCTGGTAATGAAAATATTAGAATTAAAAATTACTCCCCATTTTCTGGTAATTAAAAATGTTCCCAACCAATCTCATTCTCAGGTGTGATTTTCGTCTTTTGTAGACTTGCATTCTTAATCTTGGAAAAGATCCATGTCCTACCATACCCTTTTTAAATTGCAATTTCTTATGTAGATACCTAACAAAAGAATATGCTCGATGTATATGTATATGTACTAGGTTCAATGTTGATGACCATTAATGGGTATCACACGCAGAACCGATTCTTAAGTATGTTCATGCCAGCATTCTGAACCTCATGAAACAACTTGAGAATTTCATATTCATGCTGTCGATTCCTTTTTTTTTTTCATTTGTTTCTACCTACACAATACCTGAGATAGGTAGTTAGTGCTTACTACTTAGTATACAATAAGATTTCAAAAGCTTAGCAATTGATAATAGGCATATTATGCCACGTGGCATGTGCGTTTCTTTGATCACGCTCACATGAGTAAGTAACCTTGACCAATTTATGAATCAAAATAACTGTCATGGCATGGAAAGATAACACTTGGAGAAAACTTGTTTCAGCTCTATTGAATTGTCATTCAAAACAAGGTTAGATAATTACAATAGTAATCACAATGGCAATGAACTAAGTAACCTAGTTTTGACACTCAACTGGGTCTCCCTGCAATTACAAGATCAAGTAACCCTTTTAGCTACCCACTTCAAAGATTCAATCTTTCCACCTTGTGTTCCAATAATTCTTGAATTCAACCTCAACGAACACAAACCCACTTGCAGGAACCTCAAGATACACAAATACTTGAGGGTGCCCATAACGGCAAAACTGAATTCCAAAATTTTGCATAACTGGAACACAAAGTCTAATCTAATCGGATATAGCATGGTCGTGCCAGCAGAGGAGCATAGCTATACAGCGTCCGAGGATGTAGAAGCGCGTCTTTTGCTGCTTCGCCACCACAAAACACCGTTTTCTAAGGCTTGTTTTACGGCGAGGTTGGGATTTGGAAGTGAAGCGAGAGAGAGTCATGGTTAAGGTATAGTGAATGAAACTGAAACCTTAAACCTTAAACCTTAAAACGGGTTATGGTGTTTTTGGATCGATGGTTGAAATAGAAGCAACGATGGACACAACAAAACTGTCTCAGATAGTTTTATAGAAAACGTTGGGGTCCCACTCCATTTGTTTAATACTCGATTTGAACACGTTGTTGACTTGTTGCATCCACTTGTCTACGTTAATGCTAATTCAACATTCATTTTGTGTGTAGTTTTTGATGTCACAAACTTAAATGCAATCATCTTTCTCCTTTTATAATTTATCCCCTACCTACGTGATGAGAAAATTAGGATATATCATTCTCCTTATATTGTATATTTCGCTCAAATTCTTTTTTTTTAAGAGCAAAGTTATACTTACAATTTTTTTTTTACAATCTCTTACAACCATATCTTAACACTGTTGATTTTCGTCAATCAACGGTTATCATTTTAATGAATTTATATCTTAACACTGTTGATTTTCGTCAATCAACGGTTATCATTTTAATGAATTTAATTTTTGAAAATGATAACTGTTGATTGACGAAAATCAACAGTGTTAAGATATGGTTGTAAAAAAAAAAGTAGTAAGTATAACTTTTTTTTTTTTTAAATGATTTGCGATGTAAAAATCAATAAATTGTACTCTTCATCACATATATAAGCTTCAAGTTTAACAGTATATATGAAAGTTCTTTTAGATAATTGTTAAGATTTAACAGTTATTCTTAAAATTATGAAATGTTATAAAAAATAAAATGTAGAAAATTAGAACTCACAAATTCGGTAGAGATTTTTTTTTTTTTTTTATTCATTTTTCGTCAGACACAACTCACAAGCCTATTATTAGTCAAAATCTAAAACTGAAATATACCAAATAAAGAGACACATTACACCCAAATAAATACTAATTGAATGACTCACTATTAGGGGTGTAAATGGGCTGGGCTGGGCTGGGCTTTGGCCATCCTGGCCCAAGCCTACGTCAAAAAAAATTCAGCCTATCTGGCCTACTGGCCTATTAAAGGCTTTATTTGTAGGCCAAGCTCGGCCCATTTTCAAAAATAAGAAAGCCCGACATGGCCTACAGGCCTTGTAGGCCTCCCACTATATATACTAAGCAAAAAAAAAATAATTGTATAGAGCAAAGAAAGCTCCATTCATGCATGCACTAATACTTCTCATAAGAAAAAAATGACAAACAAGAAAGAGTCAACATACTACCTCAGCTCTAGAATGTATATCATAGAGGAATAGAGTCAAAGAAATGGGAAAAATATGAAAAATACAATTACTGGATGCTGAAATAAAGTCTACAAGAGAATGTCATTCATTTAAAAATCTTTAAATCACCATCAAGATAAGGGAAAGAAGAGTATTATTGAAAGATTTTCATCAGCAACATCATAATCCAGCAAGGTACCCATTGCTCTATGGTATTAAGCTGCAACAACATGTAAAATTTGGAGACATTAGACAAGTTTTCCTTTCATAGAATAAAATAGCACAAAAAGTAAGAGATATTAGTATTTGGTACTTTGTGTCTTTGCCACATAAAATAAATATTATTTTATTATTTTATTTTAATAAATTAAATAGGCCAGCCTACAAGGCTGTAGGCCGAGCTTGACAAAATTGGCCTATGGCCTATTTATTAAAAAATCTTTTATATAAGCCTAAGCCTACTCTATTTTTCTGAAAGGCCGGGCCTGGGCTAGGCTCAATGTAGGTCGGGCCGTAGGCTGGGCTGGGCCAGCCTGGCTCATTTACACCCCTACTCACTATACTGTCAATAAGTGATTCATTACATTACCAATAAAGGACTCATTAAACAATTTTAATGCACCCACATACCCATTACACCATACTTAAAAAACTATTAAACTTTATAACTGACAATAAAAATAAAAAGATTCTTCAACATGAAATACATTATATTACATAAGATATAATATGTGTGTATAAATTTACAAGTCAATAGATAAATATCCAGTTTGGATAAATAGCTTAAATATTATTTACCCAAAAAAATATCTTAAATATTGATTAACAAATTCTGTATATTATTATCATGCATTATAAAACAAACTAATTATAAAAAAGGCATTTTTAACATTGATTAAAAAACTATTTATATTATTATCAGGCATTATAATTAGCAAATCATAATCCAACACACCCCCTTAAATAATGTTTGAATAGACATTTTAAAATAAAAAGCTTTTACAAGAAATTTTTTCGATCATTCGTTAATATTAGTTTATTTAGTGATTATTATAAAAACAGTAAGTTATTTTTAACCTTTAAGAAGACTTACTTTTGATAGTTTTAACTTAAGAAAATGAGTTAAATAAATTTCAAAAGCTATTTTTACAGGATCACCTTCTTCTTCTTCTTTGTCATTACAAAGTAATCTAAATTGAACTAAAATAATTCACAAATGAGATTTCAAGAAACAAACTGAAATAATTATCTAAAACTAAACTCATCGGGATGAAACCGAAGTACCTTAAAACAACTAAGTACAACCGTTATCTTCAATGCGGAACATCGATCCAAGGTAACAGTGACTATTTTGCCACGTTTTGGCAAAAAAATTACCAGAATATCACGCGGACAGTAAAAATTTTCAAACTGCTACGCGGCATAATTCGTTACACAGTGTAGCGAATTATGCCACGTCAGAACCAAAAAGTGCCATGATTGTTGAAATTCGCTACACTATGTAGAGAATTTCAACAATTCTGTCACATGACATTTTTTGGTTCTGTGCATTCTGACGTGGCATATTTCGCTTCACTGTGTAGCGAAGTACTTGCATACATAATTCGCTACACTGTGTAGCAAATTATGCCGCATGACAGTTTGAGAAATTTTACTGTTCGCGTGACATTCTGGTAATTTTTTTGCTAAAGCGTGACATTTTGGTCACTGTCCCCGATTCAAGTGTCACTTTCTGGCAGAATTTTTATTCAAATAACACGCGAACATTATTTTTTACCAGACTATCACACGACGACATAATTTGTTATGACTGGTAGCGAATTACGTTTGGTACGCAATGTAGTCATGTGTCACGAAATTATTGGCGAATTACGCAACGTAATCCACTACCAATCGTATTGAATTACGCTGTGTGTGACAGTTTGATAAA